ACGGCGCCGACGGCGCCGGCCGCAGCGGCGCCGCCGAACCCGGCGGCGACGGCCGCCGCGGCGCCGCGCGCGCAGTCGACGTCGCGCTTCGGGCGGCCGACGGCGCTGGACCCAAGCGGCCGGGCCGGCGCGGCGCACCGCTTCGCGGAGGTCGACGGCGCGGCGCCGCGGCGGCGCATCGCGTCGCTCGGGCCCTGGGAGGCCGTGCCCGCGCCGCCCCCGGGCGACGCGGCGCGGCCCTTCGAGTTCTGCGAGAGCTCCAAGGCCGCCCGGGGCGACGCGGTCTACGTCGTCGGCGGCTTCCTCTGCGACTTCAACCGCGTCACGGACCGCGTCCAGATGCTCAACGCGTCCTCCGGCGCCTGGACCACCGTCGCGCGGCTCCCCGCGAGCGCGGCGAAGACGCACCACGGCGCCGCGCTGAGCGAGGACGGGTCGTGGCTCTACCTCGCGTCGGGCCAGCTGGGCCCGGGCTGCACGCTCGGCACGGCGGAGTCCTGGGCGCTGCGCTTCGTCGGCCGGAAACAGAAGAAGGCGGTCTGGGTCCGCCTGCCGGACCTGCCGGAGGTGCGCTACGCGCCGTCCGCGTGGGTCGCCGGCGGCGCGCTGCACGTCGCCGGCGGCGCGGGGCCGAACCGGCGGGACCCGCGGGGCGACCACTTCGTGCTCCCGCTCAACCCGAGCGGCCGGCCCGCGCGGAGCGGCTGGCACCGCGCGGCCCCGCTGCCCGACGGCGGCGCGGACTCGTGCGGGACCGCCGTCGTCCGGGGCCTCGCGTACCGCGTCGGCGGCCAGCACGGCCACCCGCCGGCGGTCAACGACCTCGTCGACAACAACAAAGAGTGCCAGTCGTCGCCCGAGGTCGCGCGGACCGCGGTCTACCGGACGCCCGCGGCCGGCGGCGGGCCCTGGGCGCCCGCGGCGCCGATGCCCTGGCCCGCGAGCCACGTGGGCCTGTCGACCGTCGCCGTCGGCGACGACGTTGTGGTCGTGTCGGGCAAGGACGGCAAGGCCGCGACGCCGCGCGTCGCCGCCTACGACGTCGTCGCGGACGAGTGGCGCGAGCTCCGCGCGCTCGACTGGGCGCAGCCCGACTTTCTGGTGTACGAGGCCGGGGGCTACCTCCACGCGGTCAAGTTCAAGTGGCACCCGACGAACTCGACGCTCGACGACGACTACGCGAGCGTGACGCACAAGGGGCGGACGAAGCGGTGGCCCCGGGCCTTCTCGCACCAGCGGGCCGCGATATCCTACGGCCCCGCGCCGGCCGCGCCGGTAGCCGCCGACGCGCGCTTCGACGCGGCGGCCGTCGCCGTGGCGCCCCTGCCGGGCGTCGGCTTCGGCGCGGCCCTGGACCTCGACCTCGGCGCGTGGCTCCCGGCGCCGCCGGCGGCGCTCGGCGCGTTCCTGCGGCGCGCGCTCGACGACCACGCGGTCCTCGTCTTCAAGGGCGCGGGGTCGCCCGCGCTCGACGCGGCGCAGCTCGTCGCGCTCCACGCGCTCTTCGAGCACGACGCGGACGCGCCCCCCCAGGCCTACCACCGGGGCATGTGCCGCCTCTGGCGCCGGGGCCTGCCCCAGGTGAACCTCCTCGCGAACCGCGCCGTCGCCGGCGAATCGACGGCCGCCGCGGGCGCGCTCGACGACGACGGCGAGCCCTGCGTCGCCGGAAAGGTCTACGGCATGGAGGCCTTCGCGTGGCACAGCGACGAGGCGAGCCGGCCGGGCGGGCTGCCCGTCCGCGCGACGGCGTTCCACGCGGATTTGGTGCCCGCGGGCGCCGACGGCGAGACGCACTTCGCGGACGCGCGGCTCCGCGGCGGCGCCGCGGCGGCGCTCGCGGGGCTCGACGTCGTCTACGCGTCGAACGCGGCGACGCGCGACGCGGTCCTCGCGCCCTTCGACGTCGCGGGCAAGCGCGACGGCTTCCTCCGGCCCGACGGCTTCGCGAAGCGCGGCTCGGCCGAGGCCGCGGCGCACGCGGCGGACCTGCTGGAGGGCTGCGCGCGGCTCGGCCTCTGCGAGGTCCACGCGTCGCCGCTCGTCGCCGCGCACCCGCGCACGGGCGTCCCCGCGCTGCACCTCGACGTCAAGCAGCAGCTCGGCATATCGGGGCTCGCCTTCGGCGACGCCCAGGACCTGCTCGCGCGCGTCGTCGGCGCCGCGGCCGCGCCGGACCGCGTCTACCGGCACCGGTGGGCCGTGGGCGACGTCGTCGTCACGGACAACTACGCCGCGCTCCACACGGCCGCGCCGGGCGACGCCTTCAACGACGAGCCCCGCATGATCGCCCGCGTCTGCCTCCCGGGCGGCCACGTCCCGTCCGCGCCGACGTAAGTTGGCCACAGCACCTTGCACTGCAAATTGAAGCTGTAGACGACGCAGTGCGATGGGCATGCAGCATCTCACAAGGTGACGCAGCGATGCGCGAGGTCGAGCTGGCGGCGCTGTCGCCGCTGCACGAGGACGCGGACGAGCCGTCCGACGTCGCGCGCGCGCCGACGCCGCGCATCGGCACGCTCGCGGCCCTCGCCTTACCGCTGTACCTGCCGAGCACGCTCTTCAGCATGGCCAAGGCCATCACCGTCCCCCTCGTGCCGCTCCTCGCCCGCCGCACGCTCGGCCTCGACGACCGGGCGATCGGCGTCGCGCTCTCGGCCCAGGGCGTCGGCAAGGTCGCGTGCAACTTCGGCAGCGCGCGCGCGATCGCCGCGCTCGGCGACCGGGGCACGCTGCTCCTCGGCGCCGGCGCCATGGCCGCCGCGACGCTCGCCATCGCCGGCGCGCCGGGCGGCGCCGCGCTGGCCGCCGCCGAGTTCGCGTTCGGCGCGGCGCTGTCGCTGCAGCAGCTGGGGCGGCAGTCCTGGGTCCGCGTCGCCGTCGCCGACGCGACGCGGGGCCGCGCCATGGCGCTGCTCGGCACCTGGGCGCGCGTGGCCTCCGTGCTCGGCCCCCTCGTCGGCGGCGGCGTCGCCGCGGGCTGCGGGCCGCGCGCGGGGCTCGCGGCCGCGCCGGTCCTCGCGGCGCTCGGCGGCGCCGCGGCCCGGGCGAGGATGCCGGCGACGGCGGCCGCGGCGCCGCGGGGCGGCGGCGCCGGCTACGGCGAGGTCGTCGCGCGCCACTGCTGGCCGCTGGCGACGACGGCGCTCTGGGGCCTCCTGCTCTTCGTGCTGCGGACCGCGCGGGACCTCGCGGTGCCGCTCAGGGCAGGAAAAGAGAGCGAAATTCCCAACTTCAAAGGCTCCTTTCTCGGCCGGTTTCCACTCGTTTCGGCTGATTTTTGGACGAGCGATCATCTCTCGGAACGGTCTCGAAGCATGGATGCTTTTTCCGGAACGCGCGCGCGCGGAACACTCACGTTGAAGAGAACTTGAATCACCCTTTTCCTGCCCAGGTGCCGCTCGCGGCGCTCGAGCTCGGCTGCGGGCCGACGGCGGTCGCGGCGGTCGTCGCCGTGTCCTACGGCCTCGACGCGCTCGTCGGCGCGGCGGCCGCGGGCCCGCTCATGGACGGCTGCGGCCGGCGGGCCGCGGGCGCGGCGTCGTGCGCGGGCTTCGGCCTCGGCTTCGCGGCGCTCGCCAGCGTCCTCTTCGACGACGGGCTCCGCGTGCTCGGCGGCGGCGACAAGAAGGCGCCGCGGCGCGTCGCGGGCCTCTACGGCGCCGCGGCGCTCCTCGGCGCGGCGAACGGAGCGTCGAGCGGCCTCGTGATGACAATGTCCACCGACCTGGCGCCCGAGGACCTCCGGGGCCCGTTCCTCGCCATGTTCCGCGTCGTCTCGGACACGGGCATCATCTTCGGCTCCTTCGCCGTGGGCGCCGTCTCCGAGAGCTACGCGCTCCACGCGGCCTGCTCCGGCGCCGCGGTCCTCGCGTTGGCGACGTTGGCCTTTCTCTACTGCGTCGTCGCGGAGACGCGGCCGCCGCCGCCGGCGCCGCCCGGCGACGACGACCGTCGCGACGCGCCGAGCCTCCTGTCGGCCGCGAAGGCGCGCGTCCGCGCGACGACGCCCCGGGCCCGGCCGGCGACCTACGCGATCCTGTCGCCCGACGACGACGACGACGACGGCGAGCTCCACCCGGGCGACCTCGACCTCGACCTCGACCTCGACGGGGCGGACGTCGCGTGACGTTGTGCTAATTTTTACCCGTCCTCGGCCGCATAGCCCTCGTCCTCGGCCGCGTCGCCCTCGCCGGCGGCGGCGCGCTTCGCGTCGGCCTCGGCGAAGGCCTCGCGCGACGCCGCCGCGGCCTCCGTGATGAGCCGCCGCGTCTCGGGAGAGAGGTAGTCCCAGACGGGCGGCGCGCGCGGCGGCGGCTCGAAGTCGCCGCGGAGCGGCTCGTCCCGGGCGAAGGCGCGCTCCGACGCCAGCCGGCGCCCGAGGGCGTCGGCGAAGACGACGCGCTTGTTCTTGACGCCGCCGCCGGAGTCGCGGGGCGTGTGCTTCTTGAGGGCGAACTCTTTGCCGCCGATGGTCACGACGCCCTTGCGCGTCGGGCTGCCCGGCGGCGTGCGCGGGCCGGCGCTCGGCCGCGCGTGCCACTCGGCCATCACAGAAGGACGGCGTACGCTGGGATGGGCGCCGGCGCCTCCATCGTAATGGCTTCTCCAAGTTGGTGAATGTTGCCGTCAAGGAGCAAACGATTAATCAACCGCGGCCGAACATTGTCATCTCCTGGCACTTCATTCTGCAGTTCAGTGCCGCCGCCGGAGCACGAATTTGCCGCGCTAGGCGCAGGTTACGCCAGCGGCGTCGTCAATCCTGCACGGCGCTCTTTTGTCGCTAGCAGTGTAGCCCCTAACGATGGGCGGGAGCGCGTCGACGAGCAAGTCGCTGGCCGTGGCGCCGCTGGTCGAGGCGGTCAAGTCCGGCGGCGACGAGGACAAGCAAAAGGCCGCGCGCATCGTCGCCGACTTCGCCGAATCGGATCAGAACGTGGAGCAGATCGTCGACGCCGGCGGCGTCGCGCCCCTGCTCCAGCTCCTGGACCTGTCGAAGTCGTCGCTGTGCGCGCAATCGCACGCCGCGGTGGCCCTGCGCAAGGTCGCGTCCGTGGAGAGGAGCCGCGCGCGCCTCGACGACAAGGCGTTCGTCGCCGCGCACGCCAAGGCGCTCGCGACGCCGCCGGACGCCAAGGTCGCGCCGTCGGCGGAGACGCGCGGCGAACTCGCGCGGGGCCTCGGCCAGCTCGCGCTGAAGAAGTCCATCGTCGCGGCGCTGCCCGCGGTGATCGGCGTCCTCGCGCTCCCCGACGGCGAGCAGGGCGTCGCGCTCGCGAAGCAGCACGCCGTCGCGGCGATTTTCTCGTCGATCATGCTCAACGCGTCGGCCAGGGCGAAGCAGGCCACGCTCGAGGCCGGCGGCCTCCCGGGCCTCGTCGCCGTCGCCAAGTCCGGCTCGGACGCGGCGCGCCGGGACGCGCGGACGTGCCTCGCGCAGCTCGCGGATGCCCCGGCGCACCGCGAGGCCATCGTCGCCGAGGTGGAGCGGGCGAAGCTCGACCCGGGCTTCCTCGCCGGCGACAACGGCCTCGCGGCGCGCCAGGGTCTCCGCCAGCTGCGCGACGGGTAGCCGAGGATCCTAACAACGGGCATGTTACTCCCAGCAGAACTGGACGTCCTGGTAGGGCCGGATGGGCGCCGCGGGCTCGACGCGGTAGCCCTGGCCCGCGCCGAGCTCGAGGCGCCGCCGCCGCCGCGCGCGCGCGCGGGCGCACGCGGCGGCGCCGGCGGCGGCGCACGCGGCGGCGCCGGCGGCGAGCGCCGCGCGCGCGAGGAGCGACGCCGGCAGGAGCGCCGCGGCGGCGTCGACGACGGTCTCCGGCGCGCCGCCGCCGTCGTCGTCGGCCGCGGCCGCCGCGGGCCCCGCGACGGTCGCCGAAACCGCCGCGGCCGTCGCGGCGCCGTCCAATGTGAGGTTCCGCCACCGCGCGTCGCCGCGCGCGACGGCCGCGACGGCCGCGGCGAGGCGGCCGTCGCCGACGGCGGCGCCGAGCCGCGCGACGAAGGTCGCGCGCGCGTCGGCCTGGGCGGCAAAAGGGTGCGAAATTCCCAACTTCAAAGGCTCCGATCTCGGTCGTTTTCCACTCGTTTCGGCTGATTTTGGGACGAGCGATCATCTCTCGGAGCGCTCTCGAAGCGTGGGCGCTGTTTCCGAAACGCGCGCGCGCGGAACACTCACGTTGAAGCGACGTTGAATCACCCTTTTCCTGCCCTGGCGTCGGCGGACGCGTTCGCCGGCACGCCGCGCGCGCGGGGGTCGAAGAAGCGGAGCGTCGCGTCGTAGGACAGGGCCGTCCGGTTCGCGGCGTCGAGGCGCCGCGCGGACGTCGCGGCGAGCGCCGCGACGGCCGCCACGTCGAGGCCCGTGCAGTTCTCGAGGACGGCCTCGACGCCCGGGCCGTACGCCTCGAGGTCCGCCCGGCCGCCGAGCCCCTCGAAGACGAGCGCCGAGCGCACGCCGACGGTCCACGCGAGGGCCGCGCAGTCGGCGCAGGCGCCGGAGGGCGCGGCCGTCGAGGGCGCCGGCGTCGGGGCGGCGGAGGGCCGCGCCGTCGGCACGGACGTGGGCGCGGCCGTGGGCGCGCCCGAGGGCGCCCGGGTCGGCGCGTACGTCGGGCGAGACGTCGGCGCGTAGGTGGGGGCGCCCGTGGGCCGCGACGTCGGCGCGGACGTGGGCGCGGCCGTGGGCGCGCCCGAGGGCGCCGGGGTCGCCGTCGGCGGCCGCGACGGCGCGTCGCTGGGCGCGGCCGTCGGCGCGGACGTCGGCGCGGACGTCGGCGCGAGGCTCAGAGTGGGGCTCCGCGTGGGCACGGCCGTCGGGCGGGCCGTCGGGACGGCCGTCGGCACGGCCGTCGGCCCGCTCGACGTCGTCGGGCAGCCCGAGGGCGGCGCCGTGGGCACGGACGTCGGCACGGCGGTGGGCGGCGCCGAGGGCGGGGACGTCGGCATGGACGACGGCGGCGACGTCGGCACGCCCGTCGGCTGCGGACTCTGGCCGCCGGCCGCGCGGAGGCAGACAAAAAAGGCCAGCCAGCGCATCTCTTTCTATGCGCTCACGGCGCGAAGGATTTCCATCGTTCCGCACGGCTCTCCATATCGTTTACGGAGAGCAAGGGCAGCATGGGCAGCAACGTCCCGGTTTGGGCCGACGGTGAACGTTATCGCGAGGCGATGGCTTCGATGGGCTTCACCTCCTGCGAAATCGTCACGTCGCCGGGCCCCGAGGGCCGGCACGTCGTCTGCACGGCGCCCGTCGCCCGCGGCGCGACGCTCCTCGTCGAGGACAAGGTCGTCTTCGCCGTCGAGGCCCGCGTCCAGCGGCTGCGCTGCGCCCTCTGCGGCTGCGTCGCGTGCGCGCCCGGCGACGCGCCGACGGTGGTCTGCGAGGCCTGCGCCGCCCGCGCGGCCAAGTCGGCGCCCCTGGGCCGCTGGCTCGACGCCGTGACGAAGCTCGGCACCGCGAGCGCGTCCGTGGGCGTGTCGGCCGTCGCCGCCGCATCGAGGCGCGTCGACGTCGACCGATTAATGGACCACGAGGCCGACTTCGCGCCGGAGACGCTGGCCATGTTCGACACGGTGTCGCTGCACCTCGCGCCCGTCACGGGCCGGGACGCGGCCGCGTGCCGGCGGGCCATCTGCGTCGCCGCGGTGAACGCGCGCGGCCGCGTGGAAACCGACCGCTGGTTTGGGTGGTCCTGACCAAACTTCAGAATTCTCTCGCTCGGTCACATCGACGTCGATTCGGCTGATTCTTGGACGAATCGATCGCTCTCGTCGAGCTCTCGAAGCCCAGCCGAAGAGCTCGCGTCAAAACTCTACGCCCACATCGACGTCGGGTTGAAGATTTGGGTTCCACGCAGGCGCACGGCGTCGTCGTGCACGACACGTGCTTCCGCGGCGATGCTCGCCTCGACGGCGAGGGCGGCCTCGGCGGCGAGCTCGTGGGCACCGTGCTGGGCGAGCACGCGGCGGCGTTCAACCACGCCGACGACGCGTCGGCGTACCTGAGCGTCCGGCTCGCGCCGGGCCGGTCGCCCGAGGTCGTCGTCCGGGCGTCGCGGACCCTGGCGCCGGGCGACGCGGTGACGCTCAACTACGGCCCCGTCGCCTGCGAGCCGAGCGCGAAGCGGCGCGCGCGGCTCGAGGAGGCCTACTTCTTCGCCGCGGCGCCGCGCGACGACGACGCGCGGCTCGACGCGTTGATCCGCGCGCCGCCGGCGGCCGCGGAGGGCGAGAAGCGGCCCCGGACCCTGCCCGAGGAGGCGCTGGCGTGCCTCGACGGCGCCTACGCGGACCTCAAGCTCGGGCGGCTCCAGGCCGCCGCGGAGACGGCCGACGACGCGCGCGAGTTGTTCTCCCGGCTGCCCCCGACGCACGGCTTCCGCGTCCACGGCGCGCTCCTCGACGTCGTCGTCGCCTGCCGCCGGGGCCCGGCCTACGCGGACATCGCCGCGACCTTCGCGCGGGATTTGTTGGCCGTCCTCGACGCGCACGACGGCCTCGCGGCTCTGGCCGCGGATCCGCTCGTGCTCGCGCGCGTCGCGCGAATCGCGGGCGACGCCGCGCGCGCGGACGAGGCCTTCGCGGCGCTCCTCGCCGACGCGCCGCGCCTCGCCGACGCGCCGACGCGCAAGCGGGCCCGCGACGACGACGGCGCCTGAGGCGCCCGTCGGGCGCGTTTCGCGCCCTTAGTCCTGGGGCGCGTAGGGGTCGTCCGCGGCGACCTCGCCGGGCTTCGCGCGGCGCTGGTCCCAGCCCGGCGGCGAGTGGTGGAGGAGCGCGGCCTCGATGCGGCCGAGGTTCTCGAAGTGGTTCGCGAGGTCGATGGGCAGGTGGCCCTCGGGCGTCTCCTGGACCGCGTCGACGCCAAAGTCCAAGAGCGCGTCGACGACGGCGCCGCCCGCGCCGTTCTCGAGCATGCACGCGAGGTGGAGCGGCGCGCGGCCCGCGTCGTCGGTCAGCTCGCCGTCGGCGCCGTGCTCGAGGAGCAGGCTGACGACGTCGTCCGCGGCGACGGCGGCGGCGAGATGCAGCGGCGTGTGGCCGCGCCTGTGCCGAATTCAAATCTTCAACTCGACTTCAATGTGAGCGTACGCGAATGTGTTAACGCAACTTCTTTGGCTTCGCTTCGAGAACTCGATGAGAGCAATCGATTCGTCCAAAAATCAGCCGAATCGACTTCGATTTGACCGAGCTAGAGAATTCTCAAGTTTGGTCAGGACCACCCAAACCAGTGGTTGAATTCGGCACAGGGCCGCGCATGTCGCGCGCGTCGACGTCGGCCGCGACGAGCTCCAACAATAGCCGCGCGACGTCCGCGCGGCGCTCGTCGGCCGCGAGGTGGAGGAGCGTGTACTCGTTGCGGCCCCGGTAGCGCGCGAGGTCCGCGCCCGCGCGCTTCGCGTTCTCGAGGCACTGGCGCACGGCGGCGAGCGGCGCCTTGGACCGGACGAGCTCCGTGAGCTCGGCGCCCGCCGCCGCCGCGGCGTCGCCGAGCGCCGCGTTGCGCTTCCTCCGGACGTCGGCGAGGCGCGCGTTCTGCTCGTCCATGCTCTCCTTGACGGGGTCCGCGGGCGGCTCGTCGAGGTTCTCGATGAGCGGCTCGTCGTCCGCGGCGCCGTCCTCGACGAGCGCGCCCCACTCGACGGACGCGTCGCCTTTCCGGAGCTTGACGACGAAGCGGCCCCGGTCCTTGACGACGACGCGGCAGAGGCTCGGGTCCACGACGCGGAAGAGGCGGGAGAACTTGAGCTCGAACGCGCGCTCGGCGTTGTTTGCATCGGCGACGCGGACGGCGCAGCCCGCGCTCGTGAAGGACGCGGAGACGACGGTCACGTCGTCGACGCCGTCGAGGTCGACGTAGACGCGCACGAACTTGCCGCTCTGGTCCCAGGCGTACGTGGTGACGGCGGGGACGGCCTCGGCGCACGGCGGCGGCCTCGGGGGCCGGGGGCCGGCGTCGACGCGCACGGGCACGGGCACGGGCGCCGGCGGCTCCCGGGCCACGGGCCTCGGCGCGAGCCTCTTCTTCTTCTCCTCCTTGGGCGGCGGCGGCGGCGGCGGCGGCTTCGCCGCGGGCCGCGGCGACGAGAGCCTCGCGGGCGCGAAGGACCTGTGCCGAAACCAAATCTTCAACCCGACTTCAATGTGAGCGTATTCGAATGTTTTGACACAAGTTCTTCGGCTGGGTATCGAGAACTCGACGAGAGCGATCGATCCGTCCAAAAATCAGCCGAATCGACTTTGATTTGATCGAGCTAGAGAATTCTCAAGTTTGGTCAGGACCACCCAAACCAGTGGTTGGTTTCGGCACAGCGAAGGACGCCGGCGCCGCCGGGTCGACGCGGCGGGGCACGGACAGCGACTTGTGGTGCGCGTCCGTCGCCGCCTGCGACACGCCGCCCGGCGGCGCCGGCGCGGCCTCCCCCGCGGCCGCGCGCGCCTTCGCGGGCGCCCTCGCCGGCGCGGTGTCGTCGGAGGCCCACACGGACGGCGGCTCGTCGGAGACGGGCGTCGAGAACTCGGACCGCTCGATGGCGTCCTTGAGCTTGAGGTCCTGCGTCGTCGGCGCCGCCGGCGGTGCGGGCGCGTCGTCCGCGGGCGCGATGGCCTCGCCGAACTTGAACTTGTCGCCTGTGTGGAAATCAAATCTTCAACCCGACTTCAATGTGCGCGTATGCGAATGTTTTGACACAAGCACTTTCGCTGTGCTTCGAGAACTCGACGAGAGCCATCGATTCGTCCAAAAATCAGCCGAATCGACTTCGATTTGACCGAGCTAGAGAATTCTCAAGTTTGGCCCCGACGTCCCAGCTCACTGGTTGATTTCCACACAGCTTGTCGCCGTCGCCGGCCTCGGCGTAGCCGAGCTCGCGCGCGACGCGCAGCGCGACCTCGCGCATCGTGCGCGTCGCGACGTCGAGGCGCGCGGCGGCCTGGGCCTCGCCCGGCGGCCGCGGCCACGGGTGGCCGCTCTGGTCCTCGAACCAGGACATCTCGATGATGCTCCGGTCGTGGGACGCGAGGTGGAAGAGGAGCCGCAGCACCATCTTCGCGTCGGGCTCGCCCTTCTTGTCGCAGTCCAACACCGCGACGACCAGGTCGTCGCGGAGCCGCTCGTACTCGGGCTTCGCGGCCGCCGCGGTGATGAGCCGCTCGGCCGCCTCGTCGTCGATGGCGCCCCAGCGCGAGTCGAAGTAGCGCGTCGGGTCCAGCGTCTTCCGGAAGAGCATGTTCCGCACGCGCCGCGCCTTCGACGGGTCCTTCGTCGACGCGAAGGGGTCGCCGTTGTTCTTCTGCCGGAGGAACTGCTGGCGCGTCGACTTGTAGAGGATCCCGAAGTAGTCGTCGAGCAGCTTCCGGATGGACGGCGCGTGGTGGTGGATCATCGCGTCGACGCGGCGCCGCGTCTCGTCGTCGAGCTTCCGCTCCTTGGGCTTCGGCGGCGCCTTCTTCCTGCGCCGCTCCTCGCCGGCCTCGTTGGGCCGCGAGAAGATCTGGAGCATCTCGTCCAGCAGGCAGTGGTGGAAGGACTCGACCATGGTCTGGTGGTGGGCCTCCTTCAGCTCCTCGTCCTCGCCCCAGTCGTCGTCGAAGTAGTCCTGCGCGCGGACCGCGGGGTGCTTGAGCACGGTCTTCATGAGCGGGTGGAGCAGCGCGCCGAGGTCCGTGAAGGCGCCTTCGCGCACGCGCACCTCCTCGCCCTCGTGGTACTCGGCGGCGTAGTGCGCGAGGCACGCCTTGAGCTCGTCGTCGACGGCGGCGTGCGTCTCGCGGGCCCGCATCGCGTCGATCTCGGCCTGGAGCACGCCCTGGCGCCCCTGGTAGAGCTCGACGTGGGCCATCATGTTCTTCTCGAAGATTTCCTCGAACATGCCCTCGGGCTGCGCCATGCCCGCGCCTGCGTGGGACATCGACCAGTGGAACGCCCCGTCCGGCAAAAAACGTCTCGATCGCATAGCAGAGTGAAGTCGCGTCGACTATGTTGCGTCCCGCCCGGGCCCGCGCGCCGCATCTGCGCGCCGCACATGCGCTCGATTTGGGCGGTGGTGTCGTCGCGCATCTTGAAGAGCTTCTCGCGCACGAGGCGCGTCAGCGTCTCCATGATGGGCTTCACGGCCGCGTGGTCGTAGAACTCCTTCCACGCGTCCTCGTCGACGCGCTGGACGCCGCCGGAGATGCGCATCTCGATGTGGCGCTCGCCCCGGGCCTGCGCGGCCTTGGCCTTGGCGGCATGCTTCTGCTGGAGCTGGTACTCGTAGTTCTTTCGCTTGCGCTGCTCCCGGTCCGCGAAGTCCTCCTCGGCGCGCCGGTTCGCCTCCTGGGCCAGCACCTCGGCGACGCCCGACATCGGTGGAGGTGGACTTCTTCCGGGGCTGCCCCGATGGCCTCAAGAATCTTCCATGCCCCGAAATTTGCAGTTCCTCATCGGTGGGGCAGCCCGTCGACCACGAGTCGACATGAGTCGCATGATGATCGGGCCGGCCGACGGCGCGCCGCTCCTCGGCGGCCGGCGCGGCGACGAGGGCCTGTCCGCCATGCTGCCCGGCGCGATGAGCGTGCTCGTGTTCGGGTACGTCTCCACGGTCTTCGCCACAGTGCTGCCCCTCTGGTCCGCCAAGTGGGGCAAGGTCGGCGCCATCTGCGGCGGCGCCATCGAGTCCGTGAATTTAGTAGGCGCCGTCGTCGGGCTTTTAATGTTTGGCATGGAGACGGAGCGCCGGGACCCCGCGGGTTTGGCGCTCGCCGCGTGCGGCTGCTGCGTCGTCGGCGGCGTACTCTCGGCGGCGTTCCCGGGCGCGCTGCTCGAGGCGGCCGTGGAGAAGGGCGGCTTCGGCATGTTCGCCACCTTCGGGGGCTGGGGGCTGCTGGCGACGCGCTTCCTCTCGGGCTTCGGCGCGGGGGGGCTCTACACGCTCGGCGCGTCCCTCGAGCACCGCCGGTCCGCGGACCCGGCCAAGGTCGGCCTCGTGTCCTGCGGCATCTCCGGCGGGTCGTTATTAATCTACGCCGTGGGGACGCTGCTCCTCGTGGGCTTCGGCATGGACGCCATCGAGATCCAGTGGCGCCTGACCTTTTGCTTCGGCGCACTTTTAGCCCTAGTCTGCGGCGCGGCGATCCGGTCGAGCTACGGCGGGCACCTCGCGCCCGCGCGCCACGCCGAGGCGCCGTCCCTGGCGCGCGTCGTCGAGCTCGCGGAGGCCGCGGGGCTGCGCGATGCCGCCGAGCTGCTGACCTACTCGTGGTTCCTGCAGAACGTCGGCAACTTCGGCGTGACGACGATCTTTCCGTTCATTCTGGCGGACGCGATGGACGTGTCCCTGGCGACGAACTTCGCGCTGTCGCTGGCCGTCGGCGTCGCGTCGACGCTGGCCTGCTGCGCGTCGCTGGTCTTCGTGCGGCGCCATCCGGGGGCCCCCGAGGACGCGGTCGTCGAGGCGTACGTCGCGTGCGTCGCGGTCCTCCTCCCGGCGGCCGTCGTCGGCGCGGCGCTGAATCTCGTGCCCGCGGCGTCCCTCGCCGTCTTCGTCGTGCTGCGGGTGATCTTCGGCGTCCCCGTGACGGCGCTCTACGCGTTCCCGACGACCGTCGCGCCGGACGAGCTGGGCGGCCCGCTCCACGGCGCGTGCGCGGGCGTCGCGAAGCTCGGCTCCGTGCTGGGCACGATCATCTACTACCCGATCTACGTGTCCTGCGGCAAGCTCACGCTCGAGTTCGTCGGCGTCGCCATCTTTTTGGGGGCCTACGCGCTCGCGGTCCTCGCGGCGCGGGCCTACAAGGACCGGCCCGACGCGTCGCGGCGCGCGACCATGGTCAAGAGCGGGTAACGGCCGCGTCGGTGGACGGCGCGGGGGGGGGGGGGCTCGGGGCGTCGGCCGGCGCGTCGTCGAAGGCCTCGTCGAAGGCCTCGTCGACGACCGTCGGACGCCGTGCCCCCGGCGACCCGGGCGGCGGGCTTCGGAGCTCGAGTTTCCTCCTCGGCCGACGACGCCGACGGGCGGCGGACCGGCGTCGGCGGCGCCGAAGCCGAGCTCGAGCACGGAAGAGCCCTGTGCAGGCGGCCCGCCGACGCGCTCCGCCCGCGACCCGCCGGTCCGCGTTACATGTCCTACAGCCTCGTGAGCCAGGCCATGATGGAGGACTGCGACGACGACGACGACGACGACATGATGCTCGGCGGCGAGGCGACGGACGACTTCCGGGAGCGCACGGCCTGGCAGAGCAAGCACGAGACGAAGACGTGCTTCGGCTGCGGGGGCGCCTTCAACCTCGTCACGAACCGCCACCACCACTGCCGCCAGTGCGGCCGCGTCGTCTGCGGCCAGTGCAGCCCCTGGAAGGACGCGGTCAAGGGCTACGCGAGCCCGCAGCGGACGTGCAACGCGTGCCACGAGGACATCGCCGCGGGCACGGGCGTGCAGCAGGCGTCGCGCGCGCTCTTCGCGCTCTGCCCCTGCTTCCGCTGGGCGCGGCGCGAGTTCGTCCGCTCCAAGCACGCGTCCATGCTCGCCGAGGGCGCGGTCTTCGTCAAGAAGACGTCCAAGGCGGACCAGCTCAAGGCCGCGTCGTCGTCCGTCGCCAGCGCCGTGGGGAGCCTCTTCGGGCGCAAGGCCGCGGAGCCCGCGGCCGGCGGCGCGGCGCCGTCGCTCGCGACGTCCCGCTGCAAGGTCCGCCTCCGGCCCGACGGCGCGTCCCTCAGCCTCGCGGCGGTGAACGGCGACGACGAGGACGTGCTCTACCTCCACGACGTGCGGGCCGTCGAGGCCCGGGCGAACAACGGCCTCGCGCTCGTCGGCGCCGAGGACCGCGTCCTCTTCGAGGGGAATCTCGTCGAGCGGAGGACGCGCGACGCGTGGGTCGCCGCGCTGAAGGACGTCGTCCGCGACGCGGCGTCGAAGCCGCCGCCGAGCCGGAGCGACCGGCGGCCCGCGAGCCGCGTCGAGACCGCGGCGCGCCGCGCGAAGCGCGAGATCGAGCTCCAGGGGCGGAAGCGCGACGCGGAGAAGCGCAAGGGCGAGTACATGAAGGGCGTCGGCGGCGGCCTCAAGTACACGGCCCTCGCCATGGCGAACCGCGCCTCGACCGACGGCGCGGGCGTCGTGTAAACACCCCGTCGGTTTGACGCATGTTGAAGGGTTGTTGAAGCCTAGTGAACCAAAATTGAGGCGCTTCGCTTCGGCAGCGCCGTCACGCGCGCCTCGGCGACGCAGCGCATCGGCGCGAGCGGTTGGGCGCCGTCGTCGCAGCAGTCACGCGCGCCTCGGCGACGCGGCGCGTCGGCGCGGCGAGCATGCTCCTCGACTACGTCGCCGCGCTGGGCGTCCACCTCACCTGGGGCTGCCAGCCCGTTTTCACGCGCTACCTCCAATTTGCCGCGGGCCTGGAGACGGTCCCGCTGCTGCTGGCGTCCCAGGGCCTGTCATTCGCATGCCTCCTGCTGTCCCTGGTGTTTGGCCGCGCCTGCGGCCCGGCGACACGCGAGGAGAAGCCGCCGGCGTGGTCGCCGAGCAAACGCGCGGCGTTCGCGGTCGCCTACGGCTGCGCGACGGCCGCGCGCGCGTCGACGAACATGGCGTCCGCGGCGATGACCGAGGCCTGGCACGTCACGCTCGTGGCGCTGTTGGGCCCCTTCGTCACGGCGCTCCTCTCGCGCGCGGCTTTAGGCGAACGAGTACCGCGCGCCCTGTGGCCCTGCGTCGTTGTGGCGTCCGGCGGCGCGGCGCTCGCGGCGTCCGGCGAGGCGCGCGCGGGCCGCTTCCGGCGCCGCGACGCGCTGGGCTGCGGGCTCCAGCTCGTGTCCATGGTCTTCTCCGGGTCCGCGCGCGTGCTCATCAGGGCAGGACAAGAGAGCGAAATTCCCAACTTCAAAGGCTCCTTTCTCGGCCGTTTTCCACTCGTTTCGGCTGATTTTTGGACGAGCGATCATCTCTCGGAACGGTCTCGAAGCGTGGATGCTTTTCTCGTAACGCGCGCGCGCGGAACGCTCACGTTGAAGCGACGTTGAATCTCTCTTGTCCTGCCCAGGTGCTCATGAAGCTCTCCGCGGGGTCGTTTAGCACGAAAACGCTCATGGTCGTCCAGTACGTCACGATCTGCTGCGGCGCCGCGGCTTTTGTGGCGCTCGCGGGGGACGCACACGCAGCCCTCGCGTCCTTCGAAAGCCTCGACGCGGCCGGGCTCGTCGTGCTATGCGCGCTCTCGCTCGTCGTGTCCTTTGGGGCCGCGGAGGCCCAGATCGTCTGCATCCGCTGGCTCGGGCCGGCGCACTACACGACGCTCCAGCCCGCGCGCGTGCTCTCGACGGTGGGCGTCGGCGCGCTGCTCCTCGGCGAGCGGCTCGCCGGCCGGCGCCAGGTCGGCGGACTCGCGGTCGTCGTCGCCGCGCTCGGCGCGTTCCTCGCGGTCAGGGCGCGGCGGCCCGCGGCCGCGCCGGCGGCGCGCGACGCGCCGCCCGAGCTCGAGGACCCGGGCACGTACGCGCCCGTGCTCAACGGCGACGGCGGCGCGTTCTCCATCGGCGACGACGACGACGACGAGGGGGTCCACCCCGGGGACGAGGACGTCTAATATTCCGCGTTCCTCCGTTCGGAACGGGGGCGCCTCGGACGTCCCATATGCCCCGTCGTGTTACTCCGTCCGGAACGCGTCCGCGAGGACCGCGGCGTCCGCGCCGGCCGCGGCCGCGGCCGCGCGGCGGTCCGCGTCGCGCGCCGACTCCGCGAGGAACAGCTGCGCGGCGTCGAGGCGGAGCTGCGCGGCGACGAGGCCGATGCGCTTCTCGTAGAGCGCGTCGCAGGGCACGACGCGCGGCGACGGCGGCCGCTGCCGCGGCGTCACGGGGCTGCTCCACGCGGCGGCGGCGCGCTGCCGCGGGTCGCGGCGCGGCGCGGCGGGCGCGGGCGCGTCGCGCGGCGCGGGCGGCCGCGGCTTCTTCCGCGACGGCGACCGCGAGCCGCTCGACGACGACGACGAGGAGCCGGAGGACGAGCTCGACGCGGAGCGGCCGCGGCGCTTCCGGGGCCGCGCGTCGTCGCGGCGCGGCGGCGCGTCGCCCCGCGGCGGCGGCCGGCCCCGGGGGTCGCCGCGGAAGCCGTCGTGGCCCGGCGGCGGCCCGCCGTAGGGCCCGTCGTAGCCGTCCGGCGGCGGGCCCCGGCCGCGGCCGCCGCGGAAGTCGCCGTCGTAGCCGCGCGGCGGGCCGCGGAAGTCGCCGTCGCCGCCGCGGAAGTCGCCGTCGCCGCGGAAGTCGCCGTGGAAGCCGTCGGGCCGGCCCTTGCCGCCGCCGTCGAAGCCGTCGGGCCGGCCCTTGCCGCCGCCGTCGAAGCCGTCGGGCCGGCCCTTGCCGTCGAAGCCCTTGCCGCCGCGGTAACCGCCGCCGCCCGGGAAGCCGTCGCCGCGGTAGCCTGGCGGCGGCCCGCCGCCGCGGCCGCCGCCGCGGCCGCCGCGGCCGCCGCGCCCCGGCGGCGGCGGCCGCGGCGGGCCGCCGCCGTGGAAGCCGCCGCGGCCGCCGCCGCCATTCCAGTCGCGCGGCGGCGGGCCGCCGCGGCCCTGGAAGCCGCCGTCGAAGCCGCGCTGCGGGCCGCCGTTGTCGGGCCGCCGGTCGTAGCCGTCGCGCCGGTCGAAGCCGTCGGACCGGTCGAAGCCGTCGGACCGGTCGAAGCCGTCGGACCGGTCGAAGCCGTCGGATCGGTCGAAGCCGTCGGACCGGCCCTTGCCGCCGCCGCCGAAGCCGTCGGACCGGCCCTTGCCGCCGCCGTCGAAGCCGTCGGACCGGCCCTTGCCGCCGCCGCCGAAGCCGTCGGGCCGGCCCTTGCCGCCGCCGTCGAAGCCGTCGGACCGGCCCTTGCCGCCGCCGTCGAAGCCGTCGGACCGACCCTTGCCGCCGCCGTCGAAGCCGTCGGACCGGCCCTTGCCGCTGCCGTCGAAGCCGTCGGACCGGCCCTTGCCGCTGCCGTAGCCGCCGCGGTCGTAGCCCGGCGGCGCGCCGCGGCCGCCGCCGCGCGGCGGCGGGCCGTTGTTCCAGCCTCGCGGGCCGCAGTCCTGCGATGTGGGGACGCGACGGTGAGCCGCGCGCGCGCGCGCGGAAAGCGAAGGGACGCGGGCGCTCACGTCGCGCGGCCGACCCTGGTGGCCGCCGTTTTGGCCATTCATTGGAGGACGCCCTCCCTTGCCGTCCCACGGACCACCCATGACGGCGGCCGGTGGGCACCGCTTGGCTCACCGAGCACGCCGAGCACCGCGGAAACGCGGAGTGACGGCCGCGACGGGCTCGCGCGCGATGGCGCCGAGGATGGCGCGGCGAGTCGCTCACCAAAGCCTGCGAGCCAATTGCAAGGATGGCGGCCTCGGCGTCGCGCCGTCACTGCCGTGCCGTACGAGGCCTCGTAGGCCTCGCCGTCCGTCCGGACCCGGGCCCCGGACGGCGTCCGCGACGACTCGAGAGCGGCGAGAAGGGAGCTACCGTCTCTGGAGTGTGCTCGACACCACCGGCGCGCGCGGGCGCGCGGGCGTCGCCGACGGGCCCTAGGCCATCGTGCCCGGGGCCGCGGTGAGCTCGACGGCCTTCTTCGCCTGGATTTCTCGGATTTGGCGTTTGTGCTGGACGTGCGTGCCGTAGCCGATGACGATGGCCGCGAGCGCGAGCATGATGACGAGGCCGACGCCCGCGGCGAAGTAGAGCCACTCCTTCGAGCCGTCGTCGTCGTCGTCGCCGCCCGGCGCCGTCGGCGCCGGCGACGGCGCGGTCGCGAGGATGTGCGCGACGACGGCCTCGCCGACGCCGCCGGCGTCCTGGACGTGGGCGAGGATGGGCTCCATGGCCTCGAAGACGTAGGACCCGCCGACGAAGAAGACGGCGTCGGCGCCCTGGAGGTCGTCGAGGTCCCAGGGCTTGCCCTGCTGCACACCCTCCCGGGAGAAGCGGCAGTTGTAGTTCGGCGCGCGGAAGCTGTCGACGACCGCGACGCCCGTCGCGCCGAGCGCCTCGGCCTCGCCGACGACCCGCGCGCGGACGTCGGCCTCGTCCACGCCCGAGCTGTTCAGCGCCAGCGCGACGAACTCCTCCGGGCCGTCGTTGGCCTCGGAATCGTCGACGAAGCGCGCCGTGAACCGCGTCGTCGCGAGCTCGCCGGGCTGCACGTAGTTCGCCGGCCACGTGTCGACGTACATGAGGTCGCCGGGGTCCTCCGCGCGCAGGAGGTAGGTCTGCCACTCGTTGCAGCGGCCGAGGTCGCCCAGGATCGCCGCCTCGGCGTCCGTGAGCGCGAGCAGGTCCTGGGCCTCGACGTCCGGCACGGGCACGTTGAGTACGACGCGCCCGCAGGACGTCTTCGCGTAGGCCCCGGCCGCGTCCGCGGAGAAGACGGCCGCGGCGCCGCCCGACCGCTCGACGCGGACGACCGTCGTCGAGAGGCGCACGTCCGCGCCGCTCCGGAGCGCGAGCCGCTCGACGAGCTCCGAGAAGCCCGGCACCAGGATCTTCGGGTCGAGGTCCTCGCCGCCCGTCGCGCCCGTGAGCTGCTGCTCCGTGAGCTTCAGCGCCTGCGGCGTGCTCCACAGCAGCCCGTAGTACGCGGGGATGACGTCCAGCGCGCCGTAGCCCTGCGACTCCTGGAAGATGTCCAGGATCGGGCGCAGCTCCGTGAAGTCCTCGCGGTCCAGCCACTCGCCGAACGTGCCGTCGATGACGCTCAGGTCGGCGATCCTCGGGAGCCGCCCGCCGGAGGCGTAGTCGCCGAAGATCTCCGCGTGGCGCGCGCCGTAGAGCGCGAGCTTCGTGAGGCAGATGCCGACGACCGACGGCGCGCAGACCGTGGTCATGTCGACGCTGCCGTCGTAGCAGCCCGCGGGGAGCTGCGCGGCGACGGCCGGCAGCTGCAGCAGGAACGTCAGCGTGTACTGCGCGAGGCTCACGCCGGCGCTCCCCGAGGACGCGTGCACGTAGCGCGGCGGCACCGTGTCGACCTGGTCGCCTAAATTGAGCTCCTCGAGGAGCGCGTTGATGCGCGTGTAGTCCGGGGACGTGTAGCACGCGCCGAGCTCCTGGGGCACGACGCCGCCGGCGCCGAGCACGTAGCCGCCGCCGGCGGCGCTCACACCGTCGCCGCCGCCGCGCACGGCCGCGACCTCGGACGTCGCCCGCACGGACCCGCCGTTGGTCTGGGACCCGGCGTAGGACGTGCGGATCTTGCCGCCGAGCCGCGCCTCCTTCTCGAAGATGATCACCGGCGTGTCCGCGTTCGTCTTGATATAGTCCGCGACGGCGACGCCTACCAGAGTGTCGATAACGATGGTGGTGCCAAGCGCTCTCAAGAAACCGTCGACGGGGACGCCGAGTGGCGCCGCCGATGCCGCCGCCGACGATGCACGTCGGCAACGAGTCGGCCGCGGACGACGCGACGAGGAGCGGCAGCAAGAGCTTGGGCAGCGCCATGCTTCCGGATTCTGTGGCGCTCGCTGCTCACGACAGTTTTGGACGCTGCAAGTTGATGTCAAGTTGACGCTCGCGAATGCCTCTGCCGATTCCGCACTGGCAGCCATGTTCATTTTGCTGGGCACGGCGCTGGCGGCGGACCCGTGCGACCTGCGCCATGGCTGGCGCGTCTGCCGGGCCGCCGGCGCCGCGAAATGCGAGACGTCCTGGCCGTCGCCGCCGCTGCCGACGACGGCCCTGGCGGCGTTGCTGGCGAACGCATCGGCCGACGACGCGTCGCTCTTCGCGACGCCGCCGGCGCTGCGGACCGGCGAGGGAGTCGTAGACGCCTATTTTAGCAGCAACCTTGCTGCTATCCGCGACGTCAACGCGACGGGCCGGGCCTTCTACACGCTCCGCTGGGAGCGGGAGCTCGAGGGCTGCGCGGGCCGGCTCCTCGAAATCCCCGGCGCGAACTACCGCGCGGCGGTCTACGCCGACGGCGCGGCCGTCGCGTCCGCGGACGCCTTCGGCGGCATGTTCGCGCGGCGGCGCTACGTGTTGCCGGAAGGCGCGGCGGCGCTCGCTCTCGTGGTCGCGCCGCCGGACCACTGCGGTTCGCCGACGTGCGCGGACCCGAACGCGACCTGCGGCCAGGGCGGCGACCACGCGCTGGCGCGGGACGTCACGGCCCAGTTCACCCTGGGCTGGGACTGGCAGCAGGCCATCCCGGACCGGTCCACGGGCTTCTTCGGCGTTCCCGCTTTGACGGCGGTAACATCGCTCCAGCTCCGCGACGCCGCGGTGCTGACGCTCGAGCTCGCCTGCGAGGCGGCCGGGTCCTGCGGAGCGAGCGCCGACGGCCGCGTGGCCGTCGTCGCGTCCGTGACGAATTTGGGGGAGGAGGGAAAGACGGGCGCGGTCCTCGCGTCCGTCGCGGGCCGAGCCGTCTCGCTGCCGTTCTCCGTGGACCCGGGCGCGACGGCGGAGCTCCGCGCCGAGGTCGACGTCGCGGGCCTCGACCTCTGGTGGCCCCGGGGCTCGTCGGCGGCCTACGGGGGCGCGGCGCTCAACGTCGCGACGTTTTCGCTCGGGAACTTTACGACCGCCGTCGCCTTCGGGTTCCGCACCTTCGCCACCTATATCGACCCGCGCACCGAGGGCCGCGCCTTCAAAGTCAACGGGCGGCGCGTCTTCCTGCGCGGCGGCAACTGGATCGCCACGGACGCGCTGTGGCGGTTCTCCGCGGACGCGCGGCGCTACGACGACGAGGTCCAACTCCACGCGGCCGCGGGGCTCAATTTGATCCGGGTCTGGGGCGGCGGCGTCGCCGAGGCCGACGCGTTCTACGACGCCTGCGACCGCCTGGGAGTCCTAGTGTACCAGGAGTTCTGGATGACGGGCGACAACAACGGCCGCTGGGCCGGGTCCTACGACTCGCCGGACGACCACGGCGCGTACGGCGTCGCCGTCGTCGACGCCGTGAAGCGGCTGCGGCGCTTCGCGAGCCTGCTCTGGCTCGGCGGGGGCAACGAGCTCTACCCGAGGGAGCGGTCGCCGCCGCCGGACCTCTGGGCGGCGATCCTCGCTGCTGTTGCCGCGCACGACGGTTTGAAGCTCGTGCTGCCGTCGACGATGGACGGGGGGGTGCTGGGCGGCAACGAGTCGCTGCACGACGACGCCTACGCCCTCGTCGCGAAGGACGGGCCGTACGGCATGCTTATGGCGAAGACGTGGAGCGACCGGAACCCGGGCCTCAACGCGACCAAGTATCCGGACCTCAAGATCTCGCTCCAGCCGGAGATCGGCTCCGCGTCCGCGCCGGGCTCCGTGGAGGGGCTCGCGCGTTTTTTGGAAGCGAGGGACCTCGTCGCCCCGACGCGCGGCGGCGCCGTGCCCGCAGCCTGGAAACTGCACCGCTTCGAGTCCTTCGCGACGGGGGCCTACGACCACTGCTACGCCTACGGCGACCCGGAAAACCTCGCCGACTGGGTCGCGTTCTGTTCGCTGGCGCAGTTCCAGCAGTACCAGCTCCTCTTCGAGTCCTTTGCGGCGCGCGCCTTCGAGTGGTACTCGGGCGTGATCATGTGGAAGACGCAGTCGCCCTGGCCGTCGCTGCGGGGCTTTCTCTACGACTGGTGGCTCGAGCCCACGGGCGGCCACCGCGGCGCCGCGGCGGCGAACGGCGCCCGCGCGGTGATCCTCGACCAGCGCTCCCGCGAGGTCGTCCTCTCCAACACGGCGCTCGACGAGGCCTGGGCTCCGGGACGCGCGAGTCTCCGGTGGTTCTCGCTCGACGGCGCGCCGCTCGCGGCGGCGTCCGCGGCCGTCGGGGCCGTCGCGCCGACGTCGGCGGCGCGCACGGGCCTCGTCGCGGCGGCGCCGGCGGCCTGCACGGCGACGACGTGCTTGTTGCGCCTCGCCGCGGGGGAAGAGACGAACGCCTACTGGCTCGCGTCTCCCGGAAACGCGGGGCCCGACTACTCGGCGCTCGGCGCGCTCCGCCGGAAGGGGACGACGGCCGCGAATCTTACGGCGACCTGCGACCGCGACGGCCCCTTCGGGGCCAGGATCGCCGTCGCCGTCGAGGCCGCCGCCGGCGTCGTCGTCGACCCCTCCTTCGCGGTCTTCGAGGACGGCGCCGCGCTCTGGCCCCTCTTCCTCGAGCGCGCGCAGGACCTCTTCGTCCTCCCCGGGGAGCGCGCGGCGCAGGTCCTCGCCGCGAGGCCGACGAAGCGAGCCCCGCTGACGCTGTCGGTCCACCTCCGGGCCTTTACGCTCGCCGAGGACGTCGTCGTCGACGTCGAGTGCGCGATGTACAGCGACGACGACGACGACGACGACCGTGACGACGGGCGATAAGTTTTGTTTTAGCACTCGACGTCTGCCTCGGATTCGGACTCGGCGACGCGGCTGGGCTTCCGGCAGAGGGGGCACTTGATTCGCACGCCGCTGCGCAAGGTCGTGTTGTGGGCCTGCTGCGAGCACGTGTCGCGCCAGGCGACGAGGCACGCGCGGCACATGACGTGCTCGCACTGGTCCGAGCTGGGCACCATTTCAGCGAAATCGAACTCATTCCAGCAGACGGGGCACTCCTGCGGAGGCTTCGGCGTCGGCTCCGGCGCCGGCGCCGCGACGGGACTCGGCGCCGGCGCCGCGACCGGACTCGGCGCCGGAACCGCGGCGGCGGCCCGCGGCGGCTCCGCCGGCGGACGCTCCGCGGCCTGGATGAGCAAACGGGCGCGCTTTCTATTCGCGGCGATGTGGGCCGGTGAGAAGCAGGAGAGGTCGAGGAAGCCTTCGGACAAACGCAGCTTGTCGGCCTGGCGCAACACGCAGGCTTGTTTGGAGGTCCCCGGGCCCCCGTACTTCGGGGAGTCGAGGCAGTGCTTGCACTCGCCGCACGGCTTCACTTTGGAGACAAAATTCAGGCGCTGGCCCCGGCCCGCCAGTTCGCGCGCCTCCTCCCAGCCCGCGTGGGCCCGGAGACCCTCGTAGGCCGCGGCCAGCGGCAGGGTCTCCGCGTCGCCGCCGGCGCCGCAGCGGACGACGCCGCCCTCGACGTCGACGACGCGGACCTCGCGGTCGCCGGGCAGTCGCAGGAGGCGGCCGACGAGCGGCAGCCGCGCGCGCCGGGGGCCGCGCGGGGCCGGCCTCGCCGCGTCGAGGTTCGCGTCGCGCAGCGCCGCGGGCAGCCGCTCGGCCCGAGCGCGCTCTTTCAGCGCGCGCGCCGCCTTGATCGCGGCGTCGAAGTTCGCGCGCTGCTTCGGCTTCAGCTTCCTGGGCTCGTACGTGGCTCGTTTGTCAAATGCCGCGAGGCGATCGCCGCGCGGCACGCAGCCCCAGGCCTCGTTCGGCGGCGCCGCCAAATACAAGACGAGGGAGTGCGTCGGCGGCGGCTTGGAGAGGTAGAGCTCGGCGGCGGGCTTGGAGCGCAACAGGGCCGGATCCATGACGACGCAGGGCCAGTTCTGTCGTGTGTCGGTCTTGAGCATGCCGAACCGCTTTCGCTCTCGCTCGTCGAGCGAGGCCGCGAACGCGGCGGCGCGCGCGCGCGGGTCCGACTCGTCGGCCGCGTCGTCCTCGGCGTCGCTCCCGCCCTCGACGGAGGACACGAAGGACCCGCGCTCGTCCGCGCAGAGGGCGCAGTGCCAGCCGCGCGGCGGCGCGTCGTCCTCGGACATGCCGACGCACGCGCGGTGCACGTAGCCGCCGCAGCGGCCCCTCGACCCGCCCGGGCCGCGCCACGCGCACTTGGCCCAGCGGCGGTCGCGGCCCTCGGGCGGCACCTCGCACGAGCCGCAGACGCAGACCGTGTCCGGGTGGCCGTCGACGGCCTCGCACGCCTCGCGCCTCGTCGCGAAGATACCGAGCAGCTCGCCGCCGACCGCGGCGCGCGCGACGTACTTGGCCGCGCCGGCGCCGCGATACTCGACGACGCCGTGGTCGTCGACGACGCGGCTCCTCGAGTTCGTGATGAACTCGTCGGCGTCCGGCGTCGCGGCGTCCGGCGCGCGGGGCCGCTTCGCCGCGGTCGCCTCGGCGGCCGGCGCGGCCGCGCGCTTCCGCGGCTTCGGCGCCGCGGGCGTCGCGGGCGCCGCGGCGCCGCGCGGGGGCGGCGGCGGCGCCGAGGGCCCCGCCGGCGCGTCCATCTTCCAGTTGCGGGCGACCGCGTGGTCCCAGAGCTGCTGCTTTCCGAATACGTTGACGCCGAGCGCCGCGTCCGCGGTGATCCTGCCGCCGTCGAGCGCCTCCGGCGCGCAATACGCCCACTCCTCGAATCTGTGGAGCCGCTTGGGCATCCGCACGACGTCCCAGTCCTCCTCGTGCTTGAGCCGACGCCAGAGGCGCCTTTCGAAGGTCTTCCGGTCGACGACCGCCGGCGCGACGCCCCGCGAGCTCCGCCGCACCGGCGCCGGCGCCTCGTCGTCGTCGTCGTAGTCGTCGTCGTCCTCCTCCTCCTCCTCCTCGTCGTCGTCGTCGTCGTCGTCGTCCTGGACTTGAGCCACGGACTCGGGCTCGGCGCGGGCCGGGAGGGTCGCCGGCGCCTCGTCCTCTTCATCCTCGTCGTCGTCGTCGTCCTCCTCGTCGTGACGGGCTTCGGACTCGGGCTCGGCGTCGACGTCGACGGGCGCCTCGGCTTCGACCTTGACGCGGTCCGCCGGCGCCCACTCGTCCTCCGTCTCCTCGCCGTCGCCCTCGGACTCCTCGCTGACCGGACGCTCGGGGTCGTCCTCGGGCGCCTCGGCGTCGTCCACCGCCTCGGCGGACGCGAGCGGCGCGGGCGCGAGCTCGGGCGCGGGCCCGGGCCCCGACGGCGTGACCGCAGCGCCCGCGAGGAGCGCCCGAGGGAGGGGATACACGTCGCGCACGGCAGTCGCAGCCTCGTCGTAGCCGCGCGCCGCGAGCCACGCGACGATGTCCAGGCGGGCTTCCCTCCGAGCGTTGGCGACGTCCATCAAGCCGAAAGTCCAGGGCCCCCGCCCGGGCTGCTGCTGGGGATGCTCACGCTCTCCATGACGCTCTCCATCAGACCGGGCTCCGGAGCATGTTTGGGCTTGAACGGCACCTTGCATCCGAAAATACTTCCGAAAATGGCCATGGCCGGGCGCGATCGAACAAGTTTATCGAGGGTCGGCGGCGGGGGCGCCGCGTCGGAGCGAGGGTCCGCGAGCTCCACGCCGCGGGCCTCGGTGTCGGCGGGGGGGGCGGGGGCCCGCGCGCTCCACGCCGCGGGCCCCGGGCGCCGCGCCGCGCCTCCCGGAGCGGGGGCCCGCCTAGGGCGTGATCTGGGGCAGCGACGACGCCGAGGCCGAGCGCCTCATGTCGGACTTGGAGCCGCGGCTGCTCCGCGAGGTCCGCATGGAGTAGTCGCGGCTGAAGTCGCGGCTGAAGTCGCGGCTGTCGTTGTAGTCGCGGCCGAAGTCGCCGGACGAGCCGTACTCCGAGAAGCTCCCGTCGCCGGATCCCGAGCGCCGGAGATCGGCGGCGCCGGTTCGCGGCGTCGGTGCGGCGCTGTAGTCGTCGCGCGGCAGCGCGGCGGCGTGGTCCGGGTCGCAGAGCTGGCGCGCGTAGTCGCGGTCGTCGAGGACGTTGTGCCAGGGCAGGTGGTGCCGCAGCTGCGAGAACGACCCCGCGTTGGCCGGGCTCATGGTCTCCGCGCAGGGGCTCAGGCGCAGCCGCGGGCAGTGGTCGTCGACGGTCCGCAGCAGCGTCTCGAAGACGAGCGCCTCGCCCTTCTCGTTGAGGTGGAGCCCGTCGCTGAGCAGGGCGCGGCCGCCGTCGGGCCGCGCGTCGAAGGCCTCGAAGACGTCGCAGAAGGCGGCGCCCCCCTGCTGGGCCGCGAGTTTGGCGATGAACGCGTATCGCTTCGCGCTCGCCCGCGTGCGGTCCACGTCCCGGAAGGACGCGTCGGGGTGCTTCTTCGAGAACGCCTTGTCGAAGTAGGCCCGGTCGTCGACGGGCGGGCAGGACACGACGACGACGTCGTCGCTCCGGTCCCGCGCTTTGGCCACGAGGGCCGCGAGGTTCTCGGAGAACTCGTCGAGCGGCACGTGGCTCCGCGCGCTTTTCGGCGCCGCGTCGTTGGCGCCGAGCCAGATCACCGTGAGGAGGACCTTGGCGTGGGGCACCGCGGCGGCGCTCGGGGCGGCCAGCAGCCAGCGGCTCGTGTAGCCGCTGTAGCCCCGGTTCAGCACGTCGGCGCGCCGCTGGTAGCGGTGCGCGAGGCGCGACGCCCAGCCCTCGGGCCCGAAGCCGTACTGCGTGAGCGAGTCGCCGAGGAGCACGATGGCCGGCCGCTCGCCGACGTGGCAGGGCGCCGCCGGGCGCGCGTCCCCGGGCATCGCGCGGCCAGGCAGCCCAAGATCTTAGGCCACGTGAGCTGAACAGCAATAAGGCAGCAGGCCCAAAGTTGAAGTCGAGCATGAACATTTATAAATGGGAGTTTCAGTCATGCCCGCGGCATGAGGCTGGGCTTGGGCGTCCTGCTCCTCTCCGCGGCCCGTCGCGGCGCGTCGGAAAGGCCAGCGACCGGACGCCGGCTCCCGCCGGGAGGCGGACGGCCGCCCGGAGGCGGCGGCGGCGGCGGCCCCGCGCCGCCGCCCGGCGGCGGCGGCGGTGGCGGCGGCGGCCCCGCGCCGCCGCCCTCCGGCGGCGGCGGGACGTCGGTTTCCTGCGCGGCCGACGGATCGTCGGCGTCCTACTCGGAGACGCTCGGGACGGCGTCCGGCGTCGCGACGCGCGCCGTCGCCGCGTCCGGGTGCCCGAACCACGCCTCTCTCTGCACGGGCAAGGCCCGCGTGACCGGCTGCGGCGGCGTCGGCGCGAGCGGCACTTTCTCCGAGGCCGCGGACCAGGGCGTCGCCTTCGTCGTGCCCGCGTCGCCCGTCCTCAAGGCGACCCACACGGCCGATGACGTCAAGTGCCAGATGGTGCGTCGCGCGCGTCGCATCTTGATTCAAACATGCACTCGTCTCCTAGGGCCCCATCGCCTACGCGCTCAACGGCGTCGCCATCTTCTCGGGCGCCGTCGACACGTCCTGCGGCGCGCTCGACGTCGCCGACGCGGCCGCCGAGTGGACGTCCTTCGACTGTTGCAGCGGTCACGCGGAGCAGACGGGCGCCTACCACTACCACTTCCCGCCGTCGTGCCTCATCGCGCAGCTCGGAGCCCTCGGCGACGGCCACAGCCCCCAGGTCGGCTGGGCCGCGGACGGCTTCCCGATCTACGGGCCCCGGGGCCCGGGCGGCGTCGAGATCCGCAACTGCGGCGCGCCCGGCGCGGACGCGACGTACTGCCAGGACGCGTGCGGTGGCTACGAGGGCGCGCTCGCGGTCGACGACTTCCGCTACCGCTACTACCTTACGGGCAAGACGTCGGACCTCGACAGCCTGCCCTCGGACCCGAAGCCCGACGACGCCGCGCTCTACGCGCCCTACACGATCGACTGCCACCGGGGCTGCACCCACGACGAGATGAGCTCGGGGGCCTGCTCGGGCACGTCCGGCGTCGCGAACGGCTACGTCGCGGCGGCGACCGCGGGCGTCGTCGACCCGTTCCCCGCCGTGTGCCTTGACGGCGTCACCGATTACTCCGACGACGACGACGCGCCGGCTCCGACGCCCGCGGCCCCTTCCGGGGAGCCGACGCCGCGGCCGTCTTTTCGGCCGTCGCTCGCGCCGTCGCCGCGGCCGTCGCCGGCCCCGACGCCGGCGCCGTCTCGAGAGCCGACGCCGCGGCCGTCGCCGTGGCCGACTCCTGTTCCCGGCGATCCGAGCGCCGCTCCCGTGTTGTCGCCGACGCCTCGCCCGTCCGCGGAGCCGTCGCCGCGGCCGTCGCTAGCTCCGACGCCGGCGCCTTCCGGCGAGCCGACGCCGCGGCCGTCGCTAGCTCCGACGCCGGCGCCCTCCGGCGAGCCGACGCCTCGACCCTCGCCGACGCCCTCGTCTCCGCCGTCCAACGGCCCGACGCCCGCTCCCTCTCCGCGACCCACGCCATCGCCCACGACTACGCCCGGAAAGCCATCGGCGGCGCCGGTGTTCGCACCTACGCCGCGTCCCAGCATCGAGCCGACGCCTCGCCCGTCCGCGGAGCCGTCGCCGCGGCCATCGCCCGCTCCGACGCCGGCGCCGTCTCAAGAGCCGACGCCGCGGCCGTCGTCAGCGCCCAGCTCAGCGCCGTCTCGAGGGCCGACGCCGCGGCCGTCGCCAGCTCCGACGCCGGCGCCGTCTCACGAGCCGACGCCTCGGCCGTCGCCCGCTCCGACGCCGGCGCCGTCTCAAGAGCCGACGCCTCGGCCGTCGCCGGCGCCCAGCTCAGCGCCTTCTGGAGAGCCGACGCCTCGACCGTCGCCAGCTCCGACGCCGGCGCCGTCTCAAGAGCCGACGCCGCGGCCGTCGCCGTGGCCGACGCCCGTTCCCGGAGATCCGAGCGCCGCTCCCGTGTTCTCGCCGACGCATCGCCCGTCCGCGGAGCCGACGCCTCGACCGTCGCCCGCTCCGACGCCGGCGCCGTCTCAAGAGCCGACGCCTCGACCCTCGCCGGCGCCCTCGTCTCCGCCGTCCAACGGCCCGACGCCCGCTCCCTCTCCGCGACCCACGCCATCGCCCACGGCCACGCCCGGGAATCCGTCGGCGGCGCCGGTGTTCGCGCCTACGCCGCGTCCCAGCATCGAGCCGACGACCCGACCGTCCGGGTCGCCGACGTCGCGGCCGTCGCCCCGGCCCACGACGTCGCCGTCGTCGCCGCCGCAGCCGGCGCCGAGTCTACGGCCCGCTCCGAGCCCATCTTCGCCGTCGCCGTCGCTCGGACCGGCGCCGGCGCCGACGTCCGCGCCGGCGGACCCGTCCGCCGCGCCGAGCGCCGCGTCGCCGCCCGTCGCGGTCTCGAACGCCATAGTCCTCGACGACCTCGACGCGGCCGCGTTCAACGCGGACGCCGCGGCCAAGACGGCCTTCGCGGGCGCCGTCGAGGCCACCGTCGCAGAAACAACCATATCCGACGCCGTCGCGGCGGCCGTCGCCGACGGGCGGCGCCTCGCCAACGGCACGGCCTGCGTCGTCGCCTTCGTCGCGACTTGCCCGCGCGCCGCGGCGCTCGACGGCCTTCTGCGCGACGCGACGGCGTCCGGCGCGCTCGCCGCGGCGCTCGACGCGGCGGCCGTCGGCGCGTTGGTCGGCGCGGCCCTCGACGTCGCCGCGACCCTCGACGCCATCGGGAGCGCGACGCTCGCGCCGAGCGCGGCGAGCGCCGCGCCGTCGTCGGCGCCGGCGCCGCGGCCCGCGCCGCGGCCGCGGCGGCGGCCGCGGGGCGGCGGGAGCTTCAAATTCCGCGTCGGCTTCCGGCGGCGCCGCCGGGGGAAGCGCCGGCGGCGCCTCGACGACGCGGGCGGGCCCTGCGCGGCCTTTGACGCGCTCGGCGCGGGCGACGCCTACGCGGACGTCGTCGCCGCCTACGCGGAGGCCGCGCTCGGCGGCGGCGCGCTCGTCGGCGTCGCGTCGAGCTGCGCGCCGCTCAACGGCAGCGACTACGAGGTCGCCGTCGAGGTCGAGGCGGCCGGGACGGCCATCGATCGGACGAGCGGCGAGGACGCCGGCGCGGTCGCCGCGGCCGTCGGCGGCGCCATCGAGCCCGAGGCCTTCGAGGCGGACCTCCGCGCCGTCATGCGCGCGCGCGACGACAGCGACGCGCTCCTCGCCTTCGAGAACGGCTCGGCCATCGTCGCGCTGTCCGCGGTCGTCGAGGCCACGCTCGCGCCGACGACGGCGGACACGCTCGCGCCCACGGCCGCGCCGGCCGCGCCGACGGCCGGGGCGCCGACGACGGCCGCGCCGACGGCCGGGGCGCCGACGACGGCCGCGCCGACAACGTTTGCACCGGCGACCTTTGCGCCGGCGTCTTTTGCGCCGGCGACTTTTGCGCCGGCGTCTTTTGCGCCGACGACGTTTGCGCCGACGCCGCCGGTCGCGGACGCCGCCGCGGCCGGCCCGCCGCCGCTCGTCCGCGCGCTGACGTCGTGGCCGGCCCTCGCGGCCGCGGCCGCGGGCCTCCTGGCGGTCGCCGCCGCGGGCGCGCGCCGGCGGCGGCGCGCGCGGCGGGCGCGCGCCGCCGTCGCGCCGCGGGACAAATACGAAGCGCCGCGAGGCACGTTCGAGGAGCCGCAGCTCCGCGGCCGCGTCCTCGAGCACCCAGCGCGCGTCGCCGTCGCACCCCGCGAGGGCGCCGCCGCGCCCCTCGCCGCGGAGGACGACTTCGACGACGTCTTCGGCGTCCGCGAGAAGCCGGCGGAGCGCCCCCGCGAGGAGACGGCCGTCGTGCCCCTCGCGGAGGGCGACTGTTCGCGCGACGCCGGCTCGGACTGGGACTCGGACGACGACGACGACGACGAGAACCCGCGGAACCCGCTCGTGCGCCGGGCGACCCGCGCGGCGTCCCTCACGCTCGGCCGCGACGGCGGGAGCCGCGGCTACCGGAGGCTCGCGACGCTGTAAGGTTGTTCGGGGCGGACTGGGCGACCACCTCCTACCCGAAGAAATGCGCGGACTGGGCGGACCACGTCGGCGAGATGCCCGAGGGGATCTTCGCGGGAGGCCTCGCTGGGCTTGCTTGAAGTGCCGTTGAAGTGCGGCTCTCGAGCTCCGGACAGTTGCTTTGCTCTCCGTCGCAGCGACCTGCATGGCTGCCATGCGGCTCCCAGCGCGCTCGAGCCGGCTCCGCGCCGCGACGCTGCTCTGCGTCGTTGCGAGCGCGCTGCGGCCGTCGCACGTCGTCACCCGGCCGTCGCGCGTCGTCGACCGGCGCGACGTCGCTCCGCTCGCGCTCGCGGGCCTCGCCGCCGCGGCCCTCGCGCCCGGCGCGGCGCGCGGCGCGGCGACGAAGCTGCCCAGCGGTTTGGTGGTCGAGGACGTCGTCGTCGGCGGCGGCGACTACCCGTCGGCGACGTCGACGATCACGATGGACTTCGCCGCGCGCGTCGGCGGCTTCGACGGCAAGCCCTACGTGACGTCGCCCGCGACGGGCGTCCGCGTCGACCTCGGCACGGACGCCATCGCGCCGGGCCTCAAGGAGGCCATCCTCGCGGACGCGCGCGTCGGCACGACGCGCCGCGTCGTCGTGCCGCCGTCGCTGGGCTACGGGGCCACGGGCTTCCCCCGCGAGGACGGCACGGCCGCGGGCGCCAAGGGCTCCATCGTGCCGCCGGACGCGACGCTCTACTACGAGTTCAAGATCCGGTCCATCACGCTGTCCCGGGGCATCGGCTTCGGCCTCAACTTCTTCTGAGCCGCGCGAACTAAGGTCGGCGACCGAGCGATCGACGGGGGGTCCACGCCCGTCGACGCGACAAAGCTCCACGCCCGTCGACACGACGACGGTTTTTAAATGAACACGGCCCTAGGCCTCTTGCTTCTCCGCGGCCTTCTTGGCCTTGCGCTCCGCGACGAGGCGCGCGATCTCGGCCTCGTTGTCGAGGCGGACCTTGAAGTTCTTGCCCTCGGAGGCGCCCGTGCGGACGAAGCCGATCATGCCGAGGATGTTGTTGACCCAGCCGTCGACGAACGACCGCACGGAGAAGAAGCGCGACGACTTCTTCGACTTGATCATGCCCGGCTTGACGGTGACCTCGAAGGTAGCGCCCGGCGCGACGTAGGGGATCGTGGACACGCAGGACCGGATCCACTTGCCGTCGACCTTGACCTCGCAGGTGCCGCACTCGCCCTTCTTGCACTTGTAGCGGATGAACTGGTCCGCCTGACTCGCGACCTCCGAGAGGGGCTGGCCGACGATGGCCTTCGTGGCTTTCGTGGCGTTGCCCTGGACGAAGACGACGTCGACGCTGCCCGTGAGGCCCGTGTCCGCGGCGTCGCCGCCGCCGCCGACCTCGTCCGCGAGCGTCTTCTTCTGCCGCCACTTGGGCCGGCTCGCGACGGCGCGCAGGGCCGTTCGGCCGGAGGCGCGCGCGGGCGGCGCCGTCCGCGGCGGCGCGAGCGAAAGCGTTCGCGGCAGCGCCGCGAGGGCGAGCAACGCCGCGAGGCAGAACGAGAAGTTTGGTGCCATCGCGCAGCTGTGTTTTGGCATCAATCAGACTTCGACAAGCCGCGCCGTCCGTTCGGGCGATTGGTCGACGTCCGCGATGGGGTGCGACTCCCCGGACAGTTCCCGGGCGCGTCCGGCGTGCGACGACGCGTCTTAGGCTCGTGGTCCTTGGGGCTGCGACCTGGACGGCGTCGCAGAGGGCCGCTTCCGAGTTGCCGCAAATTGCGCCAACCAAAGCGCATCCAGCCTGCCGGAAAATCTGCAAGTGTCGCGATGGCCGGTGCAAAGGGCTTGAAGCTGCTGGTCCTGGCCCAGGCGGTCGCCTGGGCGGCGGCCTTCAAGCAGCTCGGCAACCTGAAGATGCCCAACTTGGGGAACGTCGCCAAGGACATGGAGGCCAAGGCCAAGTTCGGCGCGCCGGCGGCGCCGAATGTCCGCGCGTTCGCCGCTCCCTTTTTACAAACCCCCCCGCCCCGCCCGCAGGGAACAAGAAGCTCGTCGTCGTCACGGGCACGTCGAGCGGCCTCGGGCGGAAGACGGCGCGCGCGCTCGTGCGCACGGGCCAGTACCACGTCGTCGGCGCCGTCCGGGACCTCGAGAAGATGGACGTCGTCGCGGAGATCGAGGACTTCGACCGGTCCTGCTTCACGGCCATGGAGGTCGAGCTCAACTCCTTCGCGTCGGTCCGCAAGTTCGTCGCGGATCTGGACGGCTTCCGCCTCAACAAGCCCGTGGACCGGCTCATCTGCAACGCGGGCATCTACCAGCCGTCGCTCCCGCACGCGAAGTGGTCCGAGGACGGCCACGAGCAGACGATGCAGGTCAACTACCTGAGCCACTTCCTGCTCGTGTCCCTGCTCATGGAGGACATGGCGCGCGCGCCGGACCCCAGGATCGTCCTCGTCGGGTCCGTCACGGGCAACGACAACACCGTCGGCGGCGGCGGCGTCTACCCCATCGCGGATTTGAAGGATTTGGACGGCCTGAAGGCGGGCTTCAAGAACCCCGTGTCCATGATCGACGGCTACAACTTCATCGGCGCCAAGGCCTACAAGGACTCGAAGCTCTGCCTCATGATGCTCAGCAACATGCTCCACGACAAGTACCACAAGCAGACGGGCATCGTCTTCTCCTCCATCTACCCGGGCTGCATCGCCGAGAGCCCCCTCTTCCGCGAGAAGCGGCCCTGGTTCCGCAAGTACTTCCCCGTGTTCATGAAGTACATCACGGGCGGCTTCGTCGGCGAGGAGGAGGCGGGCCAGCGTTTGTTCCAGGTCGCGCACGACCCGCGCTGCGCCAAGAGCGGCGTCTACTGGGGCTGGAACGGCGGGCCCCGCGAGGGCCGCGGCGCGGAGGCGTTGGAGAAGGGCGGCCAGATCGCCGGCGCGGGCGGCGCGGGCGGCGGCTGGGACTCCATCTTCGAGAACGACCAGTCCGACAAGGTGCTGGACGTGGAGAAGGCCGCGACGCTCTGGAAGTACTCGTCCATCGTCACGGGGGCTGAGTGGCCCGAGGCGAACCAGCCCAAGTCGCCCTGCCCGACGCTCAAGGTCATCGGCGCCGTCACGGACTTCATGAACGCCAAGGAGGAGGCGAAGCGCATGGGGGACCAGCCGGGCATGGTCGCGGGCAAGGGCATCGTCGTCACGGGCGCCGTCGCCAAGGCCGCGGACACGGTCCTCGACAAGACCGTCTTCCGCCTCCTGCGCCTCGCGCAGCGCCTGCTGCTCGGGAAGATGCCCGACGCGGCGACGGACGGCTCGTTCCAGGCGACGGAGGCGCGGCGGCGCACGGGGGGGCTGTTGGGCATCTTCCGCCGGTGTCCAATTCGGGCAGACCGGAGGATCCACCACTTCTACGAGCGGGAGGAGGCCAAGCTGCGGATCCGCGAGGAGCTCGAGCTCGAGCTCCGGGCGAAGATCCAGGACCAGAACGCGGACCGCACGGCCGACGACGACGCCGCGGCGCTCGACGACGGCGCGGCCCTCGAGGACGCGGCCGCGTCCGCGGCCGTCGAGGCCTGAACGCGCGCGGCGAAAAAAAAAAGCCGACGGGACGCCCCTTAGGGCCTCCGCCCGTCCACACACCTCCCCTCTCGTAACACATCCCGATGTCGCTGGCCGGGGGCGATGCAAGCTCCAACTGACGTGCTCGCGAGCCGGCGCTTTCGGCGCCTGGGGCCGGAAGGCAACATGCTCGCGCCGGGGTGGCTTAGGGGGGGGGGGCGGCGCGCGTCGGGGGCCTCAGTCGAAGCCGCCGGAGGAGGACGTCGCGTAGAGGTTCGGCGCCGCGCGGGGCTTCGCGGCGCGCAACGTCGGCGGCACGGGCGGCGGCGTGTTCGCCTCGTGGAGGAAGGAGTGGTCCCGGGACCGCCGCGACGACGACGGCCGCGAGGAGCTCGACGCGAAGGAGTGGTCGCTCGCCTCGGCGCCCTGGTACGCGGCGAAGTAGTCCGCGGCGGCGTCGCGGCTGACGCCGAGGTCGTCGGCGTGCGTCGGCGGCTCCGGCGGCGCGTAGGCCGCGGGCGAGACGACGCGCGTGCCGAGGCGGTGCGCCGCGAGCTCGTCGTTGAGCCACTTGATGACGCCCTGGTTGTTCTCGAGCAAATCCGCGGCGTCGGCCAGCTTCCGCTCCGCGGCCGCGAGCGCCGTCTCCGCGAGCTCGCGCTTCTCCCGCTCGCGCGCCTCGGACGCCTTCGCGAGGTCGCGGCCGTGGGCCGCGTCGTCGCGGTCCTTGGCCGCGTCGCCGACGCGGCGCTCCTGCTGCTTGATGACGTCCGCCTTCAATCGGAGCTTCGCCGCGGCGTGCTTGTTCGCCTCGGAGAGGCGCTCGATGATGGCGTTGCCCCGGGCGATCTCGCCGGACGCGGCGCCGAGCTGGTCCTCGCGCTTCTTGAGGAGCTCGGCGGCCTCGGCGTGCCGCGCGTCGGCGCTCCGCCGCGCGGATTCCGACGCCTCCCGGAGCGCGTCCGCGCGCGCGACGGTGGCCTCCGAGTCGGACGCGCGCTGGCCCAGGGACGCGAGGCGGAGCTCGAGGCCCCGCGCGTCGGCCGCGGCCGCGTCGCGCTCGGCCTGGAGGAGCTTGGCGGCCTTGGCCGCGGCGTCCGCGCGCTGCTCCGCGGCGCCGCCGGAGCGCCGCGCGTCGTGGAGCTCGCGCTGGAGGGCCTGGGCCTTGCGCTCCGTCTCCGCGAGGGCCTCGGCGAGGGTCGTGTTTTCGGCGGCCTTGGCCGCGAGGTCCGTCTTGAGCGCTCCGGCCTCGGCCGCGTGGCGCGCGCGCTCGCCCCGGAGCTCGTCGCCGTGCGCCGCCTGGAGCGCCGTGACCTCGCGCGCTAAAGCCTCCCGGTGGCTCGCCTCGCGCTCGCGGTGCGACGACGCGTGGCCGCACTCGAGCGTCGCGCGCTCGCGCTCCAACTCCGCCTTCGCGGCCGCCAACTCGCCGCACTCGCCCCGGCTCGCCGCGAGGTCCGCGGCCGTGCGCTCGAAGCTGGCCTTGTGCGCCGCGGACTCGGCGAGGGTCTGGGCCAGGCGCCCGGCGAGGTAGGCCTTGACGTCCGCGTCGTCGCCGCGCTTCAGCTTCAACGCGACGTGCGTCACGCGCTTGAACGCGTTCGCCTCGACGACCGCGAAGGTCCCCGGCGTGCCGGCCCCGCGCTCCAACGCGCAGCCGAAGCGGCTCGTGGCGCCCGGGGCGTCAGTCACACTCAAACTCGACCCCTCGCACTTGCCGAGGAGGTCGACAAAGTGCGTCGGGAAACTCAGGAAGTCGACGAGGAGCGCGTGCTCGCGGCGCAGCTCGTGGAAGTCGCCCTCGCCGACGTCGAGCGCGTAGAGGAAGTAGGGGTCCGCCGCGTCGGCGAGCTCAAGGTGCAGCACCCGCTCGCGGCCGCTCGGGCCCTCGCCGCCGCGCGGCGGCGGCGACGCCGCGCCGTCGGCGAAGATGCGCTGCTGCACGACGGCGCGCGCGGGGGACGCGCCCGCGCCGCTCGCCATGGGCCGCGACCCCTCGAGGAGCCGCACGGTCAGCACGCGCTCGCCCTCGACGTGGCTCGCGCCGTCGCCCACGCCCACGAGCTGCACGCCGAGCGTCGCCTCGTAGAGCGGCGCCGCGCGGTCGAGCTCGAGCGTCATGGTTCGTGTGTCGTTTTTGATGGTTTTGGGAGCGCGGTGCTCGCTTCAGAAGCCGCGCGGCGAGCGTAACCGCGACGACGCGCTCGTCGAGCTCTCCGCGCTTTTGAATTCGCCTCAGGCAATTTTCCCGCCGATGTTGCCGGCAACGCTTTTGAATGAAGTTTTGGATGAGGCAGCCCGCCGTCGTCTCGCATCGATGCAGCTCTCCAAGCGCGCGACGGCCGCCGCGCCGCCGTCGGACGACGTCGCCGCGCCGCAGGACGATTCGAACAAGAAGCAGCGCCCGTTCGCCTGCTCGACGCTCGCGGCGCTCCTGCTCGCCTTGTGCTGCGCGTTGCTCATAATCGATGGGCGCCAGCGGCGCCTCGACGGCGCGGCGCTCGAGGCGCGCTTCGCCGCCGTCGCCGGCGACCACGCGGCGCTCGAGGCGCGATGCTCGGCCGCCGCCGGCGAGCGCGCGGCGCTCGAGGCCCGGCTGGCGGCGAGCGAGGCGGCCGCCGCGCCCGCGGCGCGACGCGACGATCGCGAGGACGCGGACGAGGACGAGGGCCCGCCGCGGATCACGACGGCGGCCGTCATGTGCTGCTTCGACGGGCCGGCGTGGATGCAGCGGCGCTACGGCGCGGTGCTCGTCAACGCGCTCGGCGTGCTGCCAGAGACCGTCGCGGTCCAGGTCTACCACAAGACCGACGAGTCGTTCGACCGCGCGCTCGAGATCAACCCGTCCGTCGCGACGCTGCGGCGGCGGCACCCGCGGCGGCTCGTGTTCACGGCGTTCCCGGACGCGCTCAAAAACACGAAGAAGCGCGCGGACCTCGTGCTCTCGCTCTTCTTCTGGGAGCGCGCCGTCGCGGACCGCGTCCTCTTCTTCGGCACGGGCGGCGGCTTCTGCGGCAACTCGCCCCACGCCTTCGACGACTTCGCGCCGCTGCGCTACGTCAACGGCGACAACCTCATGCTCGTGCGCCGCGGCGACGCGCTCCGCGAGGTCCGCGCGGCCATCGACGCGCAGGACGATTCGCTGTCGCCGCTCTTCGTCGCCGGCCAGCACGGCCCCACGGGCTGGCTCCACCACCGCCTGTCCAAGGCCGGCGTCGCCGACGCGCCGCCGGACGTGAAGCGGACCTCAGGGCAGGACAAGAGAGCGAAATTCCCAACTTCAAAGGCTCCTTTCTCGGCCGTTTTCCACTCGTTTCGGCTGATTTTTGGACGAGCGATCATCTCTCGGAACGGTCTCGAAGCGTGGATGTTTTTTCTTGTGACGCGCGCGCGCGGAACACTCACGTTGAAGCGACGTTGAATCTCTCTTGTCCTGCCCAGGCGGACCTTCGCCGCGGGCGCGGACCACGACGCGGCCGCGGGCGTGCCCTTCGCCGTGACGGGCACGCTCAGCCGCGTCGCCGACGCCGAGGCGCGCAAGGCGCTCATCGAGCTCTGCCCGGAGGCCAAGCTCATCTTCCCGAGCCTCAGCGAGCCGGGCTGCTTCGGCGCGAAGAGCGCGCTCGACCGGGACCGGTGCGTCAACTCGCTCTGCGTCGTCAGCCCCAAGGCCTCCGGGTGCCGCTAATGACGCTTTAGGCGTTCTCCTTGGCGCGGCGCTTCTCGTTGTCCGCGCGCTTCCGCTCGAGGGCCGCGCGCGCGGCGGCCGCGCCGTCCGCGGCCCGGGCGCCGGCCACGGTCCGGCGGCGGCTGCGGTCCTCCTCCTTCTTCGCGTCGGCGGCGCGCTGCCGCCGGAGGTCGCGCTTCCGGTCCGCGACGGCCCGCGCCTCGTCCTTCTTCTTCTTCGCCGCGATGTCGAGATTCTTCGCCAAATCCACCGGCGCGGCGCCCGCGTCGATCTTCGACGATTCTAAGATCGTCGCGCCCATGCCCTTGCACCGCGTGAGCAGGAAGAAGAAGAGGGGGTCCTCCGTCGTCGCGGGCGGCACGTCCGCCGCTAGAACGCCGTGGAACCCCCGCGAGTCCTTGACCGCGAGCGAGGAAGTGGCGCGGTCGTACTCGAGGACGACGTCGTCGCCGTCGTCGTAGAAGCCCTCGGGCGTCGGCACGGCCAGCGTCTGGAAGCCGCAGTCCCAGTCCGTTAAACCGCGGCGCACGGCGCCGTCGCGGCAGCGGAAGGAGTAGGCGCTCGCGTTGTCCGCGATCTTCTTGAAGCCGTCGCAGTCGCCGCGGGCGAGCCCCACGACGATGCCGTCGCTCTTCGCGAAGCCGTCGCCGCCGCGGAGCTTGAGCGCTAACGTGCACCGTCCCATCGACGGCAGGATCCGCGGCACGACCAAATCCGCGGCCCAGGAGTCGACGTCCGCCTCCGCCGCGCCGTTGACGCAGACCGTGTCCGCCGACTCCAGCACGCTCAGCCCGTGGGCGTTGGCGTCCCGGTCGAAGCGGAACATGGCCGACGACTGGGGCGCCTTGACCGCGAAGCCCCCCGCGTCCGCGGCGTCGTCGGCCTCGCGGCTCCCGAAGACGGACACGTTCTGCAGGCCCACGTAGCCGCCGAGGGCGCTGCCCGGCCGCGTCGCCCGCAGCTTGAGCACGTCGCCCTTCTCCGAGAAGAGGTCCTGGTCGCTCTTGAATTTTAGAGTGACGACGCCCTTCCGCGTCTCCTCGTCGTCGTCGTCGTCGTCCCGGGAGAACGCCGCGACGAGGGGCCGGTCGCCCTTGCGCCGCAACGCGACGGTGACCGCCGACGGCGCGACGAGGTGCGCCGCCGGGTCGACCACGAACGTCAGCGCGAGGCGGCTCAACAGGTAGCCGCCGGGGACCTGGCAGCTCCACCAGACGGGCTCGGGGTTCCCGAAGTCGTCGCCGAACTGCGTGCACCAGTAGGACAGGCCCGTCTCCACGGCCTTGGACGCCGCGTAGCCGCCGCGGCACGCGGAGCTCGACTTGGCCCGCGACGCGTCCAACGGCACCAAGCCGTCGCCGAGCTGGAGCTTCTGCGTCGCCGCGCCCGCGGACGGCGGCGGCCGCGGCGCCGCGTCGTCGGCGTCCTCTTCCGTGTCCTGGCCGAAGCGGTTCTGGCCGCACTCGAACTCGTCCAAAGATAAGAACGCGCTGTGGATGGGCCCGTGGAACCGGTTGTCCTGGACGAAGACGCGCGTCAGCTTCTTCCCCGCGGCGATCTTCGCCGGCAGCAGGCCCGTGAACATGTTGTCGCTCACGTCGAGGCGCTGCAAATTGTTCAGCGACGCGATGGCGCCGGGGAGCTTGCCGTCGAGGAAGTTGCCGTTCACCTCCAACCGCTCCAGGTTCCGCAGCCTCCCCACGGTCACGGGCAGGGGGCCCTCGAGCTCGAGGAAGCTCAGGCGCAGCACGCGGAGCTTCTTCATCTTCAGCAGCGCCGCCTCGGGGAAGGGGCCGTCGACGCGCATGCGCTGCTTCGACGACCCCCCCAAGAGCTCGAGCCGCTCCAGGTTCGCGAGCGCGCCCAGATGCGCCGGCGCGGGGCCGAGCTTCCCCGGGCAGAGCTCGATGCGCAGGACCCGCAGGTCCAACCGGTCGCAGGCGGCCTCGGACAGCAGCTTGGCCAGCCGCGGCAGGTGCGGCACGCGCGTCAGCGTCAGCGACGCGAGGCGGCACGTCGGCGACCGCAGGATCGGCGCCCAGTCCGCGCGGAACCCCGCCTCCGACCGCGGCACGTCGTCGACCGTGCGCGTCGTCAGGTCCGCGCCGAACACCGTGAGGTCGTCGACGCAGCCCCGGGCGACGCGCGACGCCGGCAGCGGGTCCTTCAGGCCCGGCGCGGGCGCGAAGAACGAGTCCACGGAGCCGACCCACGCGCCGCCGTCGAAGAACGCCACGCCGCGGCACAGGTCCACGTTGGCGTGGACGCCCTTCTTCTCCGCCACGTCCAAGAACGCGTTCAGCGCCACGGCGACCTCGCAGACGTGGCCGCAGCACGACACGTTCGTGAGCACGTCGCGATAGCCGCCCGTCCGCCCGTCGACCTTCGGGCTCATGCGGTTCTTCACGCGCACTAATTCAAAGACCTTGGAGCCGCGGAGCTCGCGCGCGACGGCGGCCATGGCCTCCAAGGTCTCGCACTGCACCGTGCCCCGGACCATGTCCGTGAGCCGCGCGTAGTCGCCGCCGTACTTGCCTGCGGGTGGCATTCAAATCTTCAACCCGACGTCAACGTGAACATAGGCGACGGTTTCGACGCGAGATGTTCCGCTGTGCTTCGAGAACTGGACGCGAGCACTCGATTCGTCCAAGAATCAGCCGACGCGACTTCGATGTGACCGAGCCCGAGAGGTTTCAAGTTTGGTCGGGACCGCGCGAACCCGGCGGTCGAATGCCGCGCGGGTACGTGCCGTGCGCCTTGCGCACGGCGGCGCCCAGGGCCTTGACGGGGCAGAGCAGGGTCCGCAGGACGAGATCGCCGTTCTTGTGCCGCACGGCGTCCTCGATGCGCTTGAGCTCGCGGTCGAACTGCGTCTTCGCCCACTTCGCGTCCTGCGCCAACCCCAGCGCGAACCTCAGGTCGGACCGCGCGGCGAACGCGACGGCGGCGAGGCGCGCGCGCTCCGCGTTGCGGATGGCTAGAGCCTCGGGCTTGAGGTGGGCGTCGGCCTCGGCGTTCTCGAACGCGTCGCCGCCGCCGAGCGCGGCCGAGAGGTCGAACGCCGCCAGCGACTTGGCGCTGAGCTGCTGGGGCCCGAAGCGCCGGTTCACCTTCTTCGCCATCTCGTCGCAGGCGCCGTTGAGGGGCGCGAAGCCGTCGGTCTTCTGCGTCGTCTTGTAGAGCGCCGAAAAGTCGGACCGGAGTTCGCCCGCGACGTCGGAAACTTCGGCGACGGCGCCCGACGCGAAGGACTCGCCGAGCCCCGCGAGCGCCGCGTCGCGCGCCGCTCTGGCCGCGTCGAGGCGCGCGCGCGCGTCTTCGCGGAGGGCGTCGACCGTGCGCGCCGCGTGCGCGTCGTCCTGCAGCACAGCATCAACGCCCTTGGCGGCGACGGCGTCGAGGTCCGCGGCGGCCCGCTCGCGCTCCCTCACGTCGACGGAGGCCGCCGCGACGGCCGCGCAGCGCGCGGCGAACTCGCTCAGGCGCAGCTCCACGGGCACGCTGCGGTGCTTGCGGTACTGGTCGACGTAGTCGACGGCCGGCGTCCGGTCGGCGGCGGCGCGCGCGGCGTCGGCCTTGGCGAGCACGTCCTTCTCGACCTGGCGCACGAGGCGCGCCTCGGCCGACGTGTCGCCGCGGTCGTAGCCCCGGCAGGCGTAGTCGCCGAGCTTCTGGCAGTCGCCGCGGATCGCGGCGAGCTCCGCGTCCGGCGGCGGCGTCCGCACGAGGTGCGCGGCCTTGGCCTCGCGCTTCGCCCGGTCGACGTCCCGCTCCGCCCGGGCGAGCTTCCGCTTGAGCTCCTCGGCCTCCTTGCCCAGGACCGCGACCTTGTCCCGGAGGAAGGACGACGACTCGCGCGCGGTCGTCTGCTCGCGCGTCACCGTCGAGTAGCGGTCGTTGAGCCGCTCGAGCTGGTCCTTGAGCTTCATGTTCTCGCGCTGGAGGTCGATGACCGTGTCGACGTCGAGCTTCGACACCTGCTCGACGCGCTGCCGCTCCTTGGCGAGGAGGCGGTCGCCCGCGGCCTTGGCGCCGCGCGCCGTCGCCGCCGCGGCCGCGCCGTCGCGCGCGGCGTCGCCGAGCGCGGCCGCGGCCTCGCTCCTCCGCGCCGCGTAGACCGGCAGCGCGCCCCAGGCCCGCGCCGCGAGGGCGTCGAGGTCGTCGAGGTCCCGCAGGCTCGCCGCGACGGCGGTCTCGCTCTCCAGCGCGCGACCGAGCCAGCCCGGCGGCTTCGCGGCCGCCTCGAGCTCCGCGCCGGCGCCCGCGAGGACCCAGCCACCGTCCCGCGCCTCGAGGAGCGTCGGCAGCACCGCCGCCCCGAAGCGCAGGTCCAGCCGCCCGCGGCCCGCGGTCCACGTCCCCGCCGAGTCGCCGCACGTCGCGCGACCGTCCGCCGAAAACACGACCTCCAGACCGTCGCCGCGGTACGTGGCCGATACCACGTCGACGTCTTCGTCTTGCCGCGGGCTCGGCTCGTCGACGACGCCCCGGACCATGCCGTCGAAGTCGTTCTCGCACGCCACGATGTCGCAGCCGGGCTTCTCGGGCGCCTTGCCCGTGAGCCGGTTGTCGTCGACGCGGAGGACCGCGAGCCGCTCGAGGGCGAGGACGGCGGGCGGCACGAAGCCCATGAGCTGGTTGCTGCGCAGCTCCAGCGTCGCCAGCGACGCGAGGGCGCCGAGCTGCTCGGGGATGAGGCCCGCGACGGACCTGTGCCGAATTCAACCGCTGGTTTGGGTGTCCTGACCAAACTTGAGAATTCTCTAGCTCGGTCAAATCGAAGTCGATTCGGTTGATTTTTGGACGAATCGATCGCTCTCGTCGAGTTCTCGAAGCCCAGCCAAAGAGGTTGCGTCGAAAATGTCGCATATGCGCACATTGAAGTCGAGTTGAAGATTTGAATTCGGCACCGCGACGGACGAGTACGACACGCGGAGCTCCTCGAGCTTCGCCAGATCGCCCAACTCCGGCGGCAGCTGGCCGACGAGCTGGAGCTTCTCCACGGGCGAGGCGCCCACGATGTGTAAGACCTTCAGCTCGCGCAGCGCGCCGAGCGTGCGCGGGACCGCGCCGAGGTCGCCGGCGCACCGCGCGAGCTTCAACGACGTCAGGCACGGCGCCAAATTCTTGACGATGCCCGGCGCCAGGAGCAAATCCAGCTCCGGCAGGGCGCGCACCTTCCAGAGCGTCAGGGACCGCAGGCGGCACGTCTTCTCCAGGAGCCGGGTCCGCAGGCACGCGCCGCAGTCGCCGTCGTCCGCGGCCGGCTCCGGTGTCCCAAAAATAACACAGTCCAGGATCTGGCCCGCGCCGAGCCGCGCCGGCGCGGCCCTCGGCCGCGACGCGTCGCCGTCGACGCGCGCCGCCGCGCGCTTCGCGAAGGACGCCTGCGTGCCCACGAATTGCCGATGCTCCGGAGCGAAGTAGTCCGTCGCGGCGAGCGTCCCGTCGGCCGCGAGGGACCGGTCCCGCACGTCCGCCAGACTCGCAAAGGCGACGCGCACCTCGCAGACGTGGCCGCCGACATCGACGTAGAGGCCCAAGTCCCGGTAGCCCGCCGCGGCCTCCGCGAAGCCGTCGCGCGCGTCGACGACGGGGAACTGTGAGGCAAGCCCTTCCACAACGGCGCGCGCGGCGTCCGGCGCGGCGCAGGTCAGGTGGCCCCGCACGACGCACATGACGTCGAAGGCGCCCGTCGCGGCCGACGCGCCCGCGACCTCGCCGAAGCACGCGCCGAGCGGCTTGAGCGGCTCCGCGGACGAAGCGGCGCCGTCGACGGCCTCCGCGACGTTTCGGAGCGCCACGTCCAGGGCCGCCTTGGCGGGCCCCGCGTCCCGCAGGAGCGCCAGCGCGAAGGTCGCCTCGAAGGCGTCGCCGGGCCGGTCGCCGCCGCCGAGGAACTCGCCGCGCGCGGCGTCCGAGAGTTTTTGACGCCAGCTGCGGTTCCGGGGCCCCGGCGGCGCCGCGAGCTCCGCGAGCCGCCGGCGCAGGCCCGGCCAGGCCGCGTGGCGCGCCAACTGGGCGCAGAGGTAGGCGTAGGTCGCCGCGGTCTCGTTCGCGTGCGCGCCGAGGTCCGCGCCCGCGGCCACGGCGACGCGATCCGCCAACACCTCGACCGCGCGGTCGCGCGCGCGCGTCTCCTCGCGGATGCGCTTGCGCAGGTCCGCGGCGACGCCCGCGTCGTAGGCCGCCGCGCGGACGTCGTCCAGGGCGCGCCGCAGCGCCAAAAGCCGGCAGTCCGCCGCGCCCGCGAAGTCGCGCAGCGCCGCGGCCTGAAATTCCGAAAACACCGGCGGCACGCCGAAGCCCTCGCGTTCCCGCTTGCGGTCCTGGGACGCGTCGAGCCATTTCGCCGCCGGCGCGGTGAAGGCCGCGGAGTCGTGGCGCTTCTCGAGCACGCGGTGCTCGACGGCCTCTCGCGTCGCCGCGGACCGCGCGTCCGCGGCGCCCGCGAGGCCGCTGAGCGCCTCGAGGTCGTCGGCCAGTTTCGTCGCGACGGCGACGGGCGCCGCGGCGGCGCCGCGCCGCGGCGTCGCGCCGCCGGGCCGCGGGGAGTGCCCCGGCGCGTCGTCGCCGAAGACCGCGGCGCGCGCCGCGAGCTTCTCCCGCAACACCGCCGCCTCGCGCTTCGCCTCGTCGAGCTCGGCCTTGGCCCGGCTCAGGTCGTCGGCGAGGGACGAGTCCAGGTTCCGCGCGGCCTGGAGCAGGTGCTTCCGGCTCCGCGCGTCCAAACGGAGGCTCGTGCGCGCGGGCACGACCGCGACGCCGTTGCCCGCGTAGGTCGTGTCGACGAAGAACCAGAGCGGCTGCTTGGACTTCGGGTAGGGCACGTTGCGGCTCAGGACCCCGGAGAAGCCGCGGTCGTCGCGGACGAGGAGCGACCGCGTGTCGCGGTCGTACTCGAGCGTGATCTCGTCGCCCTCGTCGTAGAACCCCCGCGCCGCGTCGGCCATTTCGCCCTTCTGGTTGAAGCCCGGCACCCACTTGCCGTCGAGCCGCGCGCGGCCGTCGCGGAGCCGGTAGACGAGCGCGGTCGGCTCGCCGCACGCGGCGCGGCCGCCGGCGATATCAAAACCCTTCATCTGGGACCCGAGGCCGACGTAGAGCCCGTCGCTGCCGCGGGCTCCGGCGCGGACGCGGAAGGTCACGGCGGCCCGGGACACGTCGGGCCCGAGGCGCGGCTCGAGGAGATCGCACGCGAATCGCGGGACGTCCGCGTCCCTCGAACCTTTGGCCACGACGGACAGGCCGTCCTCGCTCGCCTCCGTGAGGCCGTGGAGGGGCTCGGCGAAGTGGAAGGGCGACTCGGCGACGGGCACGGGGAAGCGCCTCCGGTCGCGCGGGGCCTTGGGCGCCGTCCGCGGCCGGTCGCCGTCGTTGCGGGCCGCGAGGGCCTTGGCCGAGAGGCCGCTCCGCGACGCGGGCCGGCGCAGGGACGCCGTCGCGGGCCGCGGCGCGGCCTCGCCCGGCGGCGCCGCGGCGAAGCCCTTCTCCGCCGCCTTCGTCACGAAGGGCCGCACCTTCCGGGACCGCGTCGGCGACTCGCAGAGCTCCGCGAGGGCCTCGGGCGACGCGAGCCATCGCTCCACGCAGGCGACGACGTCCTCCGGCGCGCCGACGTTCAACGCCACGTCGAGCACCGTCTCGCCGTCGGCGTTCTCCACGTGGCCGTCGATCTTGCACCGGCCCAGCAGGTCGCCCACACACCGCGCGGAGCACCCGTTGCGCACGGCGAGGTGGCTCACGGCGTCGCCGACGCGCGCCTTGAGCCGGTGCGCCTTGAGGGCCACGGCGCTGTACATCTTCCGACCGGCGATGTCCACGCTCACGCGCCGGTCGCTCGCCGACGGGGGCGCCTGCATCAGCGTCGGGTCGAGGAGCTCCACCAACTTCTTCTCGAACTCGCGCGGCCGCAGGCCCTTGGCGATCTCGTCGATGTGGGCCACGGCGAGGTCGTCCCAGCGCTTGTCCGCCTGGGGACGCTCCCACGCCATGGCGCAAGAAGGCTGCCCGCTGCGGCCTCGATCGGTTGTACACTGCGCGCGGCTGCCCGGCGCCGGCCTCTATCGTTGGCACGTCGTACGCTGCGCGAGGCTGCCCGGCGCGCGGGCCTCGATCGTTGGCACGTCGTACACTGCGCGAGGCTGAAGGGCGCGGGAGTCTATCGTTTGCACGTCGTAAACTGCCCTCACCGGGGCACCACGAGCTTCAATAGGCTTCACCATGCACTATGAGGGGAGAAGCAGGGAGAGCCTCTCTTTGGCATTTGCCGGCGCGCGCGCGGCCGGCTGTCCATGGTCACGGGCTGCGGATCGCGGCAGACGTGCCTCTGGTGTGCTCGGAACTGTGCTCCGTGACCATGGACACCCTGACCGTCATCCGGAATCGCTGCGCGAAGTTCGAGCATTTCGGCATGCTCTGCGAGCCGAAAAGCAGCCCATTTTGGGCTCTGGGCAGCGTGCTGGCTGGATCGGAGGCTCGGGGTACATGTCTGATACCCTCGGACTGCTCAGTTGCTGACTTGGCTCGAACGACGTGCGACACCGCGCGCGCGGGCGTGCGGGCGCGCGCGACGCGGTTTCAGCGCGAACACGTCAGATCGACTTCCTCGGGTCCGCGGGGCCAACCCTTGTGGCAGGGCGCTCTCGGGTCGACAGCGGACGATCCCTGCTGCTGCGCGGGGCTGCCCGGGCCGCTCACGGGCCGGGGGAGGGGCGTCGCGTCCGTCAAATCGGTCGCCCGAAGCCGCTTGTGTTCTCAGCGAGTCGCAATCCAAACGCTGCCGCTCCTTCGCGGATGGCAGCCCCGATGTGTGCGCTATGCGCAGTCCCAGCGATCTTGCACGCGGGGGGGCGCGCGCGGTGGTAGGCGCGCTCGACTAAATTTAATGCGTCCATGCCGTCTCGGCACTTCTCGGCCCGAAATCAGCGGAACCAAATACATACAGCGAGCCGATGAGCGGAACCAAACACATACTAGAGTAACCTAGCATAAACCGACTTGGTGTCGGGGATTTTTACCTCCCCCCAGGGCGGTAGCGGGGCGGCCAATTTTGCATTTTCTGAGTCCTCTGGAGCCCCTCCGCTGGTAGAACTTCCAAGCTCTCCGATTGGTTCGGTTTTCGTGGCTGAACACAGCCCCACGTGCCCATGCCGTACGCTGAGCCCCCCCGGGCCGCTGAGCCCCGGCCACTGTCGACGGATGGCTGGGGCGAAATTACGAACTCCACGATCCCGACGGAGAACGCCGAGCCCCGTACGTCTGTGTACATATCCGACGTTGTGTTTTCGTTCCTGATGTCAGGAAGACCGTAGGCAACAATCTGCGATATCCCAAGTTGCCTTTTATGTTGAAGTCACATTGAAGTTCAAGCAAACTAAATGTTATTTAGAAAAATAACGCGGACGACCTTGGATACGCTTTAAGGACGCTCCTCCAGCCCAGCGGGGCTGAGAATCTTCCCCTGGTGATGCCTAAGTTTCTCTCTAATGTGCGAACGCGCTGCCAGCGATTTTTATCTGGAAAAAAAGTCGAATTTCAGGGTTCTCGAGGTCGCCGTACTCGGCCGAGCTAGGCATCACAAGGGTGTTGTAGTTCGTGCTCTAAGCTTTCGATCGCGCCTAAAAGCGCGTCCAAAGTCGTCCGGCTTCATTTTTCCATTTGTGGTGCTTGTTCATGCTAGGTTACTCCAGTACAGCGAGCCGAGAGTAAACCAAAGCTCAACGGATCGCCGCCGCAGTGGTTGCTATTCCCCTCCTCCATGCACTCGGCGAGCGGCGCAATGGGCGCGGCACAAGTGCCGTAAACAACTCAGCGTCCAAGGCTGCGGCAATGAGCTCGACCAAGAAGCGCCCCCCGAGCGGCGCCGAGCTCGTCGCGCTGTGGCGGCAGCCGCGGCGGAGCCGCGCGATCTGCGTGCTGGGCCACGTGGACCACGGCAAGTCGAGCCTCGTCGACTGGCTGTTGGCGGAGAACGGCCACATCCCCGCGCGCCTCGCCGGCACGCTGCGCTACCTCGACGACACGGTCGACGAGCAGGAGCGCGGCATCACCATGCGCGCGTCGGCCATCACGATCCTGCACCGGCGCGTCGGCCCGCCGCCGCAGGCCTGGGAGACCGGGGACAAGGGCGACCGGGACTACGCGATCACGCTCGTCGACTCGCCCGGCCACATCGACTTCAGCCACGACGCCTGCGCGGCGACGCGCCTGAGCGACGGCGCGGTCATCGTCGTCGACGTCGTCGAGGGCGTGCGCGTGCAGACGCGCTTCGCGTTGCGGGCCGCGTGCGCGGAGCGGCTGGCACCGATCCTGGTGCTCAACAAGCTCGACCGCCTCGCCGTGGAGACGGCGGACTCGCCCATGGAGGCCTTTTTGCGGCTGCGGCGCGTGCTCGAGAACGCGAACGCGGCGCTCCACGAGGCTTTGCGCTTGCACGGCTGCGACGACGCCTTCGCCGCCAGGGCCGCCTTCGCGGCGGAGAAGGGCAACGTCGTCTTCGCGTCCGCGCTCGACGGCTGGGGCTTCACGGCGCTCCAGGTGGCCAAGGTGCTGTTGCCCCGCTTCCCCGCGAAGACGACGCCGAAGGCGCTCGCCACGGTGTTGTTCGGGGACTTCGCGCTCGACGGCGACAAGGTCAAGCGGCTCCGGGACCCGTCGTACCCCGACGACGCCATCTTCCCGACGCTCGTGCTCGCGCCCCTGTTCCAGCTCCTGACGGGGACGGCCCTCGACGACCTGGGGCCCTGGTTCGAGCCCGACGAGAAGCCGTCGCGGAAGAAGCGGTCCGTCGCCGACGACGCGCGCGCGTGCCTGCGACGCAAGTTCCCCGCGACGGACGCGCTCTGCAAGGCCGTCGTCGAGCGCGTGCCGCCGCCGGAGGCGGCCCTCGGCCTGCGGACCGCGGCGCTCCTTCCCGACTCGGCGTCGCCGCTCGCGGCGCTCGTGCGCGCGTGCGACGCGGACGGCCTCCCGCTCGCGTACGTGGCGAAGAACTTCAGCCGCCCGGGCAGCGACGCCGTCGCCTGCGCCGTGCGCGTGCTCAGCGGCACGCTGCGCGCGGGCGCGGCGCTGCGCGTCGGCGAGAGCGGCGCGGCCGTCGTCGTCGACGCCGTGTCCGCGATGATGGGCGGCGAGCTGGTCCCGATCGACGAGGCGCGCGCCGGCTGCGTCGCGTGCCTGGGCCCCGGCGTCGCCGCGGCGCTGGGGGAGCTGAAGCGCGCGACGCTCGCGGACCCGAGCTTGGACGGGGCGCTCGCGGCGCCCGCGGGCGCGACGGCGCTGCCGCTCGTGCGCGTGGCCGTCGCGGCCCAGAAGAGGGCCGAGAGTGCGCGCCTGGACCGGGGCCTGCGGCTGCTCCAGGCCCTCGACGCCGCGGCGACGGTGGAGTTTCGGAACGACGGCGAGAAGGTCGTCGGGTGCGTCGGCGAGCTCCACCTCGACCAGGCGCTGCGCGATCTGAGGGCCTACTGCGGCGGCGACGAGGCCATCGCGCTCGACGTCTCGGAGCCCATCGTCGGCTTCCGCGAGGGTCTGGCGGAACCGTCGGGCGCGCCCTGCAAGCGGCCGCCGCCCTGGCGCGACGAGGACGGCTTCGCCGCGTGGGAGGGGAAGACGTTCGCGGACGACTGGCCCTCGGGCCGCGGGGGCGCGCGGGGCACGTTCGCGGACGACGCTTTGGGCTTCGCGGTGTCCTGCGGCTCGCTCGCCGGCGCGGACGCGCTCCTCGACGACGCGGCGCCCCTCGACGTCGGCGGCCGCCGCGTCCTCGCCCGGGGCCCGCGCGCGGCGCGCGGCAACGCGCTCGCGGCGGCGCCCGGCGCCGCGGACGCGCTGGACGCGGCCGCGGTCGCGGCGCTCGCGCAGGGCTTCGCCGACGCCGCGCTCGCGGGGCCCCTGGCCGAGGAGCCGCTCCACGGCGTCTTGTTCGTGCTCGAGGTCCGCGACGCGGCGTCGGTCAACGGCGCGGACGCGGTAGACCTCGCCGCGGCGTGCCGCCGCGCGTGCCGCGTCGCGTTTTTGACGGCGGAGCCGCGCGTCGTCGAGCCGCTCTGCGCCTGCGAGCTCCACTGCGGCAAGGACGCGCTCGGCAAGATGTTCGGCCTGCTCAGCAAGCGGCGGGGCAGGGTCCTCGAGGAGACGCTGCTCGAGGGCACGGACCTCTTCGTCGTGCGCGCGTCGCTGCCCGCGGGCGCGGCGCTCGGTTTCGGCGCGGACCTGCTCCAGTGGACGTCGGGCCACGGCACGGCGCCGCAGATGGCCTTCGACGGCTTCGCGGTCATGGACGTGGACCCGTTCTGGACGCCGACGACGGAGGACGAGCGCGAGGAGCACGGCGACGTCGACGACCGCGTCTTCGCGGCCGCGAACGCCGCGCGGCAGGCCATCGCCGCGGTCCGGAGCCGCAAGGGCCTCGCGGGCGACGCGCTCACGCTCGACAAGAGCGCCGAGGCCCAGAAGAGCAACGCGCGCATTAAGGGGTGAGTGGCCGCGCTCGGCCTTCACGCTGAACAGCAACGCCCAGGCCAGGGATGGCGCTCGTGCCGGCGCCGCGCGCCGGCCGCCGGCCGGGGCCGGCGTCGTGTCGCATCCCGCCCTCGGGCTAGGTTCCGTGACTCACAGTGGGCTTTAGTTCGGGTCCGCGGCGTCGCTCGGCGCGCTCTCGACGTCGACGACGACGGCGTCGCCCTCGTCGGCGGCGGGGTCCTCCGGGGCCGCCGCGGGCTCGTCGAGCGTCATCGTCTGGTCGACGTCGAGCTGGGCGTCGGCGTCGTCGGCGGGCGCCGCGACCGGCGCCTCGTCGGCGGCCGCGGGCTCGTCGAGCGTCATCTGCGGGTCGTCCGCGGGGTCCTGCTCGGCGGGCGGCGCCGCGGCAGCGGGCTCGTCGGCGGGCGCCGCGGGCTCGTCGGCGGGCGCCGCGGGCTCGTCGAGCGTCATCTGCGGCTCGTCCTCCGCGGCGTCCCGCTCGGCCCGGTCGGCGGCGCGCGCGACGTCCTCGAAGTCCTCGACGTCGCGGTGGACGCCGTCGTCGACCGCCGGCGACGGCTCCTCGGCGTCCGCCGGCGACGGCGCGGCGTCGCGCGGGACGCCGCCGTCGATGGGCTCCGGCGGCGGGGCGACGCCGTCGTCGACGTGCGGCGGCGGCTCGTCGTCGGCGACGACGGATTTCCGGTCGTCGTCGACGGGCGGCGGGGCCGCCTCCGGCGCCGCGCCGCGCGAGTCCGGGTAGCCGCGCAGCGCGTAGGCCCCCGGCCGGTCGCCCGTCGCGTTGCGCAGCGCGTCGAGGTGCGCGGCGAGGCCGCTGCGGTTGTGGCTCCGGAGCGGGTGCCGCGATTCGAAGGACCGCTCGTGGCGCGCCAGGACGGCCGCCGCGCTGGGCCGCTTCCGGCTCTTGCGGTCGTACTCCGGCGCGACCGTCCGCACGTAGAGCAGGTCGTCGACGACGAAGACGGGCACGAAGACGAAGACGAAGAAGACGCCGAAGATGCCCAGGAGCAGGCCCAGGCCCTGGCTCTGGACGATGTTCTGGAGGCGCGCCGCGACGCGCGCCGGGCTGTAGCCCGCGCGCCGGTGGCTCCGGGGCGTGTCCTCGTCGTGGCCGATCTCGAAGGCCGGGACGCGGCCGTACATCGCGTCTCGCGTCTCGGTGAGCGACGAGCTTTCAAGCGGATGCCATCGGCGGCCGCAACAAGGTCAATCTTATGAGAATGGTCAATGTTGCCCCTCGCATCCCTCGCGAACGAGACCGATCTGGTCCGTCGCTCCGCCCTTCTCGACCATCTTCTGCCCACACTGCGCGCTCCGAACGCAACAAATCCATCGTCACGCTCACCTCTACTCCTGCCGAAACGACCATGGCCTGCACCCTGACTTTTGGCTCGGCCACGCGCATGTTCGACATCCCCGAAGGCGGAATAAGAAGATACGAGCTTTTGAACAAGGCCCGGGCGGCTTTTTCGCTCGCCGCCTGCGCGACGCTGCGCCCGCAGCCGACGTGCGCGCTGCGGGTGCTCGAGAAAAAAGAGCTCGCCCACGACGCGCGCGTCTACTTCGACGACGGCAAGCTCTTCGAGCTCGTGGACGCGCGTTCGCTCGAGCGCGACGACATCCCCAACCTGGGGGAGCGGTTGATGTACGCCGGCGTGCACTGGTTCACGGAGAAGTGCATCGTCGTCGACGGCGTCCTGGAGTCCGACGTCATCGCGCGCGCGGCCGCGCGCCCCAAGCGCGCCTTCTCCCTCGGCAGCTCCGCCGCGCCGCCGCCGGCCCCGTCTGCGCCGCCCGCCAAGCAGCAGAAAACGACGACCTCGGTCGCGGCGCCGTCGTCGTCGTCGTCGTCGCAGGGCCGGAAGCCCGACAAGTGCGCCATCTGCCGGAACTCGCTCAACGAGCCGTCCTTCGAGTACGAGGCGAACCCGTCGCCGATCAACGAGAACGGCCTGTCGATCGCCTTCGGCTGCTGCGGCCACGCGCGTCCGCCGGGCCTTTCGTTCCGCCTTCCCTCGCGCGCGCGCGTGACTCACCAACGCTCCGCGCAGGTCTTCCACCTCGACTGCATCCAGCGCTGGCTCAAGACGCGGTCCGTCTGCCCCCTGTGCAACAAGGAGTGGGAGTTCGCCAAGATCGAACGCATCCCCGGCGACGTCGCGCCCGCGGTGCCTGGCCCGGACAAGTCCGGCAGCCTGCGAGTCTCCGTCACGACGCTGGCGGGCAAGACCATCACGCTCGACCTGGACCTCTCCGACACGATCGGATCGGTCAAGAAGAAGATCGCGGAGACCTTTGATCCACAATGGCAGCGTTTGATCCACAAAGGCAAGCATCGCAAGGTCCTTGACAAGGATGAATGGACGCTCGCCAACTACTACATCACGCCCGAGTCGACGCTGCACCTCGTGCCCCGCATTTGCGGCCAGGGCCCCGGCGAGTCCGGCCCCCTGCGCGTCTACGTCAAGATGCTGACGGAGAAGATCATTACGCTCGACATCGATTACTCGGACACGATCGACAACGTCAAGCAGAAGATCCAAGTCGCTGAGGGCATCCCGCCGGACCAGCAGCGCATGGTCTACGAGGGTAAGCAGCTCGAAGATGGTCGGACGATCGCGGACTACTGCATCAAGAACGAGTCGACGATTTGCCTCGTGCTCCGCCTCCGCGGCGGCATGTTCGACGAGTCGTCCGCGCAGAGCGGCATGCCCAAGACCTTCACGCTCGTGTCGCGGAAGGGCGAGCACACGATCACCTGGCGCTACGAGAGCCTCAAAGGCATCGCCGCGCGCGCCGCGGGCCTCGCCGCGCTCCGCACGAGCAGCGACGGCGTCGTCGAACTGGACTCGGACTCGGACTCGGACGACGACGAGGACGAGCAGCGCGACGGCGAGGACGACGCGGCCTACATCGCGCGGCTCCGCTGCCTCCTCGCGGAGGCGCGGCCGCGGAAGAAGCCGCGCCGCGCCTGAGCGGCGGCCGCGCCGAGCGAGGCCGAGCTCGTGGCCCTGCTCCGGCGCGAGGACGCGCTGCGGCGCGCGCCGGAGACGCAGCGGGCGATGGAGGCGGCGGAGCGGAGCGCGGCGAGCGACTGGATCGAGGTCGCGCGCGCGGCGCAGCGCCGCGTCGCGCGCGAGTCGCTCGCGCCGGGCAGCTCCGAGGCGGCGGTCGACGCGCGCGTCGACGCGCTGCGCGGCGCGGCGCTCCGCCACCCGGAGATCTGCCACTGGGTGCGCCACAACCGCGCGCGGCGCGGCGACCTCCGCGTCGGCGACGCGGCGCCGGACGTCGCGCTCTGGCGCCTCGACGGCTCGAAGACGTCGCTCCTCGCGGGCCGCGACGCCGCCAAGCCGCTCGTCGTCGTCGCGGGCTCCGTGTCGTGACCGCCGTTCCGCCGCGTCGGGCCCGAGCTCGACGCGCTCGCGCGCGAGTGCCCCGGCGCGGACTTCACGTTCGTCTACGTCGCCGAGGCGCACGCCGCGGACGAGTGGCCCCTGCGGTCCGCGCGCTTCGCGGCGGCGCCCGTCGTCGTCGACCAGCCGCGGACGCTCGCGGACCGCGTCGCGCTCGCGCGCCGCTACGCGGCCGACTACGGCATCGCCTCGCCCGTCGTCGTCGACGACCCGACCGACGAGGCCTTCGAGCGCGCCTACGCGCCGTGGCCGCTCCGGCTCTACGTCGTCCGCGGCGCCGCGCTCGCGTGGATCGCCGAGCCCGACGGCGCGAGCTACGAGCGGTCCGTCGCCGAGCTCCGCGCGATGCTCCGCGCCTAGCGCCCCCGAGCCCCCGCGACCATGACGGCGCGCGGCGGCGGTCTGACCGCCGCCGGGCGCCCGACGCGCCGCGGGGCCCGGCCGGGCGCCTCCTTCTTGTCCCGTCCTCTGTCCTGTGTCCCTCGTCCTAAGTCTTTTGTCCCGCCATAGAACTTAGGTCGGGTCGGCCATGTAGAGGTGGTTCTGCCACTGCGTGTCGACGGGCTTCTGCCGCGTGACGAGGAGGCTCTCGGAGTAGGCCGTCTCCTTGCAGCCGCGGCGCCCCCGCTGGCGGTAGGGCTCGGGCACGGGGTCCGGGAGCGCGAGGAGGCGCTGGGCCGGCGCGAGCGCCACGGACGTGGACGACGCGGACCGGCCGTAGCGCGACGCCTCCGTGTCGTAGCGGCCGAACCTCTTCGGCACGACGATGCGCGTGTGCTTGCCCATGCAGCGCCGCAGGTCGCGGTGGCTCGTGAAGAAGTTGCCGTGGAGCTCCTCGTAGGTCGCCGTGCCGTGGTCGACGACCTGGACCGTCGGCGCGTGGAGGGGGTGGGCGAAGTGGGACTGGGATGTGGTCACGGGCTTGAACTGCTCGCTCGACTTGCGGTGGTGGATGACCTTGTTCGACGCGTCGCGGATGATGCGCACGTGGTGGTCGTCCCACTTCGGGGGCGGCACGGGCGCGTGGTAGCCGAGGATGACCATCGCAGCGCGGGAGACGCTCCCGAGCGTATCTTCCGAGACGCTGAAGCTACATTGAAGCTTACGTTTGCGGCGCCCCGACGCCGCACTTGACGCCGCGCGTTCCCAGAAGATGGTTGTTACATGAAAGGCGGCGCGGCGAAGGGGCGCGGGCCCTAAAAGGCCCGTCACGGTTCGCCGCCCTCGTCGAGGACGCCGTCGACGTCGGTGCAGTCGCCGCAGCCGAGGAGCGCGTCGTCGGCGTCGTCGCGCGCGACGTAGCCGGGCGTGTTCGCGTAGTAGGTCTCGTCGTGGGCGTCGGCGGCGCAGAAGAACTGGATGAGGTCGCCCCAGCCCACGGGCGCGGCCTCGTCGTCGCCCGGCGCCCAGGTCTCGGACCGCTTGAGCCCCCGGCCGCCGCGCGGCGAGCCGCCGAGGTCGTCCGTCGTCATGGCCATCTGGCGGCGCCGCGCGCGCTCCCAGTAGCCCGGCGGCAGCTCGCAGGGCGACGAGTCGCAGCGCTCGCGCGCGTCGGCGAGCGCCGCGTCGTCCGGCTTCCGGCGGACGTCGCGGAGCATGAGGAAGCGCGAACCCGCGCCGGGCCGCGCGACGAAGGGCGCGTCGCCCTCGAGCACGCGCCGGTCCCGCTCCGCGTCGAAGAGCCGCGACGCCGCCTCGCCCCGCCGGTTCCGGTCGATGCGCTCGCGGAAGTCCTCGAGGCGCTTCGCGCGGCGCTCCGCGTCCGACGCGCGCTTCGACTCCGCGGCCGCGGCGCCGAGATTCCGCGCGTCGCGGAGCGCGTCGAGGCGCCGCCGCTCGGCGTCGAGGCGCGACAGGAACCGGGCCTCGTCGGACCGCTCGATGGTGATGACCTCGTCGTCGCGGCCGCGGACGTCGAAGCGCTCGCCCGGCGGCGGCTTCTCCTTCGCCGGCGAGTTTTGGGGCGACGTCGCCGCGAGGAGCGCCTCCAGGCTCCCCGACGACTCGTCGCGCGTCACGGACGGCGAGCTCCGCACGGACATCTCGAAGGACATGGTCCGCGCGCCGAGGCCGTCCTCCGCGGGCGGCGCCCAGAGAGCGTCGTCGTCGCTGTCGTCGTCGTCGCGCGCGCGCTCGCGGCCGTTCGTCTGGGAAAAGGCCTTGCGGCCGTACAACGCCTCGGACGTGTCGACGTCCTTGCGGGCCTTGGCCGCGACGTCCGCGGCGAAGGACGGCCCCAGGTGGATGCGGCTCTTGTCCTCGGCCGACCGGCCGCGCCACGACTCGGGCGTGTCCATGGGCTTGCGGCGCACGTCCGACGCGGGGCCGAGCCACGCGCGGCCGCTGAGGTCGAGCGCCTCGAAGTCGTCCTGCGGCGCCGGCCGGCCCGCGTCGCTCAGGTTCCCGAAGGACGACGACCGCCCGGACAGGCTCGGCGACCGGCGGAGCGCGTCCATCATGCCCGCGCCGAGCGCGCCGTTCTCGTCCGCCGGCGGCATGGGCGTCTCGAGCAGGATCTTCGCGCGCGCGCGGTCCAGCGGGCCCGCGACGGCGGCCTTGAGCTTCCGGAGGCGCGCCTGCTCCCACCTGGGCAGGAAAAGGGTGCGAAATTCCCAACTTCAAAGGCTCCTATCTCGGTCGTTTTCCGCTCGTTTCGGCTGATTTTGGGACGAGCGATCATCTCTCGGAGCGCTCTCGAAGCGTGGGTGCTGTTTCCGAAACGCGCGCGCGCGGAACACTCACGTTGAAGCGACGTTGCATCACCCTTTTCCTGCCCTGGCTCCCACAGATCCGCGATCTCGCGGCCCCGGCGCCGCCGGAACGTGAGCACGAGCGGCCGCGCGTCCGGGTCCACCAAACGATCGAGCACGCGCCCGAAGTCCTCGAGCGACGCGATGCGCACGGCCTCGTCGCCGATGGCGATGAGCTCGTCCGTGACCTTGAGGTGCCGCACGGCCTCGGACGTCGGCCAGACCCTGTGCACGACGGCGATGAGCGACAGGCCGTGCTCCACGAGGGCCAGGTTGACGCCGAGCGCCGGGCCCCGGAAGACGACGTGGCGGACCTCGCGGTCGCGCTCCTCGTGGTTGAAGAGCGTCAGCAGGAACCTGCGCGCGCGGGTGGCGGTCCACGCCGGCGCGTCGCGCGCGCGACGGTCGACGAGGGCGCGCGTCGACGGGCCGTCGGCGCCGGGCGCGCGCAGGGGCCCGCCGCCCGACATGGTCCGGCCGCCGCGCGGGACGCGCGCGTCCCGGCCGCCCGGCCGCGGCTTCGGCAGCCCGGCGCGGCGCGGCGGCGGCGGCGCCTCCTTTGGAGCACTCGACGCCTCCGGCGGCGCGCTTCCGGACGAGCCCGGCCGGCGGCCGTCCGAAGCGCGGACGTCCGGCGTCGACCCGCCCAGTTGTGCCACGTGACCTGCTCCCAAGTGGAGATCAAGTAGCACACGTCGGACCACAAAAAGTCGCGTTTCGTTTTCCAGCATCATGGTCATCATCGACATCAATCTTGAGAGGTGCACCACCAACTCGAAAGGCTCCTGCGCGACCATCCTCGCCGCGCCGCCCAAGCTCTATCCTGCCTGCGCGCCGCCATGAACGGCCTCGTGGACTACGCGTCCAGCGACGACGACTCCGACGGCTCGTCGCCGCCGGACGAGGCGCCGGCGCCCGCGCCGCGCGCGCCGGCGCCCGTCGCCGAGGCCGCCGGGAGCGGCACGCGCCAGAGCCGGCGCTACCTCCAGGCGCGGGCCGTGCTCCCGCCGGAGATCCGCGCGGCCCTCGAGGGCGGCGGCGACCTCGACGACGACGGCGGCGGCGGCGCGCCCGCCGCCGCGGCGCCGCGGCAGAAGCGGCCGCGGACCGAAGGCGGCGGCCGCCAGCACGCGCTGCTCGCGGCGCTCCCCGCCACGGTCCAGACCTACGAGGCGCCGCCGGAGGCGCCCGAGGAGGCGCCCGAGGAGGACGACGCCGACGCGCGGGACGACGACGACAGCGACGGCGGCGCGCCCGCGGGCCCGTTCTTCAAACTCCCGGAGAAAACCGGCAAGCGGCCCGCCGCCGCCGCGCCCGTCGTGGTCCGCGGCGCGCCCGAGCCCGCGCGCCGCCGGCCGCCGCCGCCGCGCGCCGCGCGCCCGCCCGTCGTCGCGGCCTACGCGGCGCCGGCGCCGCCGCCGCCGCAAGAGATCTCGTCCGGCCGCCGGCGCCGCGAGGCCGAGGCCGCGCTCAACTCCGGCGACGCGCGCGCGCTCCGCGAGTTCGCGAGCGTGCACGGGCCGTCCGTCGACATCGCCGAGGCGCGCGGCCACGTCGAGCTCCGGAGCCGCGAGGAGCTCATCGCGGCCTCCGACGCGCGGCCGCCCGAGGTGTCCATCGCCGCGCAGTTCTACAACACGAAGACGGGCGCGACGACGACGTCGACCAAGGCGACGAAGACGCAAAGGCGCAAGCACCAGATCAACTCCCTCGCCATCTCCGCCGCGGAGCGCGAGCTCGAGCTCCTCGACAAGAAGGGCAAATCCAACAAGACGAAGCACGAGACCAACGCGCGCTACGGCTGGTAGGGGCGGCGCGGGCGGCGCGCCCGCCGTCGTGTATCCGTCGCGTAATAAATTCGGACGCGTTGTTGAACACAAGGTGCCGCCGACTTGAACCTGCCACAGCTCTGCTCGCCTCGACGCCGCCACCGCGCCGTCGATGCAGGCGAAGCTCGCCCGCCTCGTGGCCCCCGCGGTGTGCCTCGGCTACGTCGGCTACGTGCTCGTCGACCGCTTCGCGTACCACGAGGCGCGCAAGCTCGAACTCATCGAGGAGACGCGGCGCGCCAAGGAAGAGGCGGCCCGGCGCGTCGCGGCGCGGCCCGAGGGGTGAGCCCGACCATGCGCCCCGCGTTGTTGGTCCTCGTCGCCGCCGCGGTCGCCGACGGCGCGAGCAAGCACCACGCCAAGGACCGCGCGTACCGCGCGGCGAAGCGCGAGTGCGAACAGGGCGTCTGCTCTCAGTACGCGCCGGACACGGGCTACAACTGCGTCCACGAGTGCGTGTCCGCGCCGTGCTACGCCGACGTCTACGCGGCCGAGCCCCTCGAGGACGGCGAGGTCGACGCGAAGCGGAGCCGCCTGTTCCTGGCCTGCGTCCGCAAGGAGCAGGCCGCGCGGCGCCGCGCGGAGTCGGACGCGCGCAAGCAGAAGCGCCTCGAGAAGCGGCGGGCCGAGCGCGGCGAGGAGGCGTAGTTGACTAAGTTTTAAAAAGAGAGACGGGGGGGGCACACGGCGCGACACCCTCAGCGCTTGGCGACGTCGCCGACGAGGGACAGCGCGACGCCCGGCGCCTGGGCCCAGCTCTTGCCGTCGAAGACGTGCCAGGGCGCGCGGAGGTCCCGGAGCGCGCGCGCCTTGTCGTAGGCGACGAGGCCGCCCGTCGTGGAGCCCGGCGTCGAGCCCACGAGCCACATGCCGCGGTCCGGGAGCGTGTAGAGGAACGAGTCCTGCTCGCCGGGCCGGTCGCGGACGCGCTTGTAGAGCAGGGGCGGGTGCCCCGCGGGCGGCGCGTCGACCTTGGCGTAGAGCCCCGCGCGCCAGGACTGGACGCCCTCGGCGCCGGGGATGCTGAGGATGACCGCGTCCTTGCCGTGCGCGTCGAGCTGCGCCGCGCTCTCCGCGCGGGCCCGCGCGACGACGTCGCGCGCGGTCGCGAGGTGCGCCGGCGTGCCGACCATGCGCTCGGCGACGAGGGACGCGGCGACGGTCGTCGTGCCCACGGCGCGCGCTCCCGCCGCGAGCGCGCGGCTCGCGGAGCCGTCGCCGACGTCGCGCGGCGGCTCGCGCGCGGCCGCGGCCGCGACGGCGGCCCAGAAGACGCGGCGGTAGGGCTCGTGGGCGTCCAGGGCCTGGAGGACGATGGACGCGAGCATGGCGTGGTCCGGCCCCGCGCGCGGCCGCGCCGCGGCGGCACCGGCCTCGCCGCCCGGCGGCGCGGGCGGCGCCTGCGCGGGCCGCGGCGCCGCGAGCGCGCCCGTCGGCGGCGCCAGCGCGCCCGCGGCGAGGCCCCGCGCGAGCACCTTGGCCGGCTCGACGACGCCGAAGCGCCGCCCCCGGCCGTCGTAGGCGACGCGCGCGACGCCGACCGTCGGCGCCTTGACCCAGGACGCGCCGTCGAAGACGCACCAGCCGGCCGCGATGTCCTCGGGCCGCTCCGCGCCGTCGTAGACGACGGCGGCGCCCGTCGTCGCGCCGGGCGTCGACCCGACGAGCCACATCTTCTTCTCGGGCACGCGGTAGAGGAAGCTCGCCGGCGGCGGGTCCGCGGCGCCGCGCGGGCTCGTCGCGGGCTCGGCGTCGCTCCGCCGGTAGCACGCCGCGGCGCCTCGCTCGACGCGCTCGTAGACGCCGGACCGCCAGTGCTGGGGCGCGGCGACGGGCGGCAGGTAGAGCGCGACGCGGTCGCCGTCGTCCTCCGGCGGCGGCGCGTCGCCGTCGCTCCGGAGCATGATGGCTTTTCGATAGAACCGCTCGATCTCCGCCTCGCCGCCGCCGCCCGGCGCGCACGCGTCGACGATGGCTAAACGCGCGTCGCGGTAGTGGCCCCAGTCGGACCGCTGCGTGGCGTCGAGGACGTTGAACTTGTGGCGCCAGGTGCGGAAGTGGCAAAAGGGGAAGTGGAGGAGCACGATGCCCGCGCCGCGGTCCTGCGCCTGCGCCGGAAACGACCGGTGGAACGCCCCGTCCAGCAAAAACGTCAAACCTCTCGAGCTCGGTCACGTCGAAGTCGTTTCGGCTGATTTTTGGACGGATCGTTTTCTCTCGGCGAGTTCTTTCGAGATCGTGAAAAAAATCTGTCAAACCCGTGCGCATACGTGCATATTGAAGTCGTGTGGAATATGTTTGGTTCCTGCCCGGTCCCGCGCGTCGTTCTTCGCCGCGTCGCCGCGGGCCGCCGCGAAGAAGTGGACGCCGCAGGGCCGCAGGCCCGGCTCGGCGAGGCGCCCCGCGGACTTGCCGTTCCAGTAGGACAGGTAGGGCGCCGTGAGGCCGTCCGCGCCCGACGCGGGGTTGCCGCCGTGCACGTAGAACCGCGGGTCGTGGTGCCGCGGCACCGCGGAGCCGTCCGCGTGGAGGCCCACGCGGAGCTTGAACCGCGTCTCCTCGGCGAAGAAGTTGTAGTCCGAGTCGACGGCGTCGTCCTTGAAGCGCTGGACCTCGAGGTTGTCGAGGCGGAGGTTGAAGCTGCCCGGCCGCGCGGCCGCGACGACGTCGCCGAGCGCGCGGGCCCCCCGCGCGCGCGGCGTCGTCAGGTAGAGCAGCTCGTCGTCGTCGAAGTGGAAGATCCAGTCCATGCCCTGGGCCCGCGCGCGGCGGATCGCGTCCGTCGCGTTCCGCTCCTGCAGCGCGACCTGCGGGGGGACGCGCGGGTTTTTCGCGCGCGGCGCGGCTTTACCCCGACGTCCGACGCGGCGCGCGCGCGACGTCGACGAAGGACGCGCCCGAGGCCTTGCCGACGAGCGCGGGGATGGCGAGCACGGCGCGGTCGAGGCCGTGGGCCGCGAGCGCGCGCTGCACCGCGTCGAGGAGCGACGCTGCCTCGCCTGGGCAGGACGAGAGAGATTCAAAGTCGCTTCAACGTGAGTGTCTCGCGCGCGCGCGTTCCGGAAAAAGCATCCACGCTTCGAGACCGTTCCAAGAGATGATCGCTCGTCCAAAAATCAGCGGAAACGAGTAGAAAACGGCTGAGAGAGGAGCCTTTGAAGTTGGGAATTTCGCTCTCTTGTCCTGCCCTGGGCCTCGCCGGCGGCCGCGACGGACTTCGTGTCGTGCACGTAGAGGTAGATGCTGTCGATGCCGACGCAGAGGTGGTACCTGCGGCGCGGGCGGCGGCGTCGGCGGGCGTCGGCCCGCGGCGGGTCCTCCGGGCGCGGGCCGCGCGCCGCGCCCACCACACGAGGACGTCGAGGCCGGGCGCGACGCAGGTCGTCGTGACGAGGGCGCAGCGCGGGTCCCTCCGGCCGTCGTCCCGCTCGCCGAAGGCGCCGAGGCCCCGGGGCTTGGGCGTGTCCGACGCGATGGTCGGCGACGCGGGGCGGCCCAGCGCCGCCGCCGGCGCCGACGCCAGGGGCGCGTCGGAGCCGCGGCCCATGTATGCGTAAGCGCGCGCACTCCGCGGCCGGCGAGCGCGCGAGGGCGCGCGATCCGCGCGGGCGGCGACGCCGGCGGCGGCGCGCGGCGAGCGCCCAACGACGCCGCTTCGCGTGACGAGCACGGTCCGGGCAGCCCGGGTGCAAAAAAACATTTCGGATTTCGTATCTTGCAACACGACACGGACGCCAGGAGACAAGCCGGGGGTCACACGTTCCTCGACCCCGCACGTACGAACCACGCCGATGCCCCCGTTTTTATGTTTATGACATATCCCGCCGGCGGGATATGTCATTGAACGGTGCCCTGAACTTGAAGCGCAAGGAGTGAGGTTGAAGTCCTGCAACTCAAGGTGAAGTGCAACATTTGAGGTTGAAGATGCGGCGCTCAGCGAGCCGGCGTTAGCGCCGCCGCGGCGGCGCGGCGGCGCGCAGCGGCGTAAAATAAATCGAAAAAAATAAAGGAGCGTATTTAATTTTATTCTACAAGTTTTTTTAATTGGCCAAAAAGTTATCCGGTGAATCTCAGCGGCTCTCGCCGGAAAATTCATCGATATCATCGTCAAAATTCCATTCGGTGTCGTCCGCGTACGGGTCTTCTTCCTCCGGGTCCGGCATGTCGCCGAACGACTCGGCGTCGTCGACGGGCGCCGCGACCGCCGCGACCGCCGCGGCCTCCGCGGCCGCGGGCCGCGCCGCCGGCTGGAGGTCGGCGGCGGCGGCGCGCATCGCCCCGGCCATGACGCCGCGCCGCGGCGCGTCCTCCGCGGCTTCCGCGACGGCGGCGACCCGCGGCGCCGCGACCTCCGCGACCTCCGCGGGAGCGAAGGACCGGGCCGCGGCTCGGTCCGCGGCGCGATCCTCCGCGGGAGCGAAGGACCGGTCCGCGGCTCGGTCCGCGGCGCGATCCTCCGCGGGAGCGAAGGACCGGACCGCGGCTCGGTCCGCGGCGCGCTCCTGGGCCTCGGCGCGCTCCTGGGCCGCCGCGCGCTCCTGGGCCGCCGCGCGCTCGCGAGCTTCGGCCTCGGCGCGCGCCTCGGCCGCTTTGCGTTCCCGCATGCCGTCGAAGTCGTTTCCCTCGAGGCGCAGCTCGAGGCCCTCTCGGGCGAAAGGGGGGCTGGGCTCGGGCCCGTCGAGGCGATTGTTCTCGAGGTTGAGCGTTTGCAGGCGCGGGTGGTCGAGCAGCCCCGTGAGCATGAGCCGCCCCGTGAGCTCGTTGTCCGCGAGGTTCACGTTAATGAGATCCGGGCACTCGGCGAGCGTCAGCGGAATGGGGCCGACGAGCGCGTTTTCGTCGAGGTGCAGATTCCTGAGCCGCTTGAGCTTGCCAATCTGCGGCGGGATCTCGCCCTCGAGCAACCCCGCGGGCAGCTCGCCTCTGACGACGAGCACCTCGAGGGACCGGAGGCCGCCGATCGTCGGCGGGAGCGCGCCAAGCGGGCGGTCCCCGCGCCCGATGATCCGCACCTCCTCGAGCGTCGGCGCGAGGACGTCGACGACGCGGATGTCGAAGAGGTCGTCGAGGGGCGGCACGTCGACCCGTCGCAGATCGAGGCTCCGGAGGCGGCACGTCGGCGTCCCGAGGCAGGCGATGATCTCGCGCTCGAAGGTCCGCGGCGCGTCGGAGCCGCCCGGGAGCAGAATCAACGAGCAGATCTGGCCCGCGGCGACGCGCTCGCACACGCTCCGCGGCACGTCGCCGTCGCCGTCGCTCCGCGGCGCGGCGCGCTGAATGAAGCTGCCCTCCCGGCCCATGTAGTGCTGGAGGTGCTCCCGGAAGTAGTGCGTCGCGCGCGCCGTCTCGTAGACCGCGTGGCCCTTCGTCTCCTTGACGTCGACAAAGGCCGCGAGGTTGAACTGCACCTCGGCGACGTGGCCGCCGCAGGAGACGTTGCAGAGCACGTCCCGGTAGCCGCCGGCGCCGCCGTCCTTCGGGTCGAAGCGGTTCTTCACGCGGAGCACGTCGAAGACGTGCGACTTGCGCACCTCGTCCGCGCACAGACGCATCGCGTCGAGCGAGTCGCACTGCAGCGTGCCCCGCACGAGGTCTGTGAGCAGGTCGTAGGATCCGCCGTACTTTTCGTGGACCTTCTGGAAGCCCCGGCCGAGGGACTTGAGCGGCGCCGTGAGCACGAGGGCCGCCTTCCGACCGAGCGCGGCGTCGACGGCCGCGCCGACGCGCGCGAGCTCGGCGTCGAACGACGGCTTCGCGCGCGTCGCGTCGCGCAGCAGGGCGACGGCGAAGGCCACGTCCATGGGCTGCGGCGCGCCTCCGGCGCCGAAGTACTCCGCGGCGGCCAAACGGCTCAGCGCCTGCTTCTTCGACCTCGGGGCCGCGTCCGTCATGCCTTCGACGGCGGCCAAGAACCCCGGGAAGCCGTCGTCCGCCGCGAGGTCCGCGAAGAGGCGCCCGTAGGTCCGGTTCGTCTCCATGAGGTCCACGGCGATGTCGTCCGCCGTCTTGACGTAGAGCCGGTCCACGAGGTGGCCGAGCGCCGCGTCGCGCGCCTCCGTCGCGGCGTCGATTTGACCCTGCAGAGACTCGTCGGAGGTTTCGAAGATCATAGCCCCATGAGAGCCTTCTGCAAACAAGCGCGCGTCCTCTTCCCGAGCCGCGAGGAAGTCGTCGCGCGTGCGCCGGAGGACCATGATGTCGACCTCGATCACGGCGACCGCGCGCTGGATGGCCTCGGTCTCGTAGAGCCGGAGCTCCTTGGGCAGCACCGCGGCCTTGGCCTTGGCGCTCGGCGCCGCGTCGGCGCTCGGCGCGGCCCCGGCGGCCGCCGGCGCCCGGGCCTCGCGCGTGAGCGCCTCCGTCTTGTCGAGCCACTCCTGCGCGGACGTGACGAACTGCGCGGAGCGGAGGCCGTCCTGCGCCTCGAGCACCTTGTGCTCGAGGCGCGCGACCTCGCCGGCGGCCGCGGCGTCGCCGCGGCCCGCGAGCGCGCCGAGCTCCGCGAGGTCGCCCCGGACGGCCGCGGCCGCGTCCGCGGCCGCGGCCGTGACGCCGCCGGGCGTGCGGCTCGCGAGCGCGTCGCGCTCGGACCGCGCGCGGGCGAGCGCCTTCCGCGCGAACGCGAGCTCCGCCGCGGCCTCCTGGCGCACCCTGGCGATCTCGTCGCGGAGCAGCGCCGACTCGCGGCGCGCGCCCTTGGACTCGAGCTCCGCGGTGTAGAGCTGGACCCGGAGCTTCTTGTTCTCGCGGCGCAGCGCGCCGACGTCCTCCTCCGCGGCGCGCGCGGCCGCGCGCGCGTCGCCGGCCGTCGCGGGCCGGCTCCGCGGCACGAAGTACGCCGGCGCGCCGTCGGCGGGCACCTCGTAGTAGTCGAAGGCGTCGGCGCCGTCCGCGCGGGCCGCGGCGCCGAGCGCGGCCTCGAGCTTGCCGCTCGCCTTGGCCGGCGACGCGGCCTGCGCGAGGCGCAGCTGGGCCACGAGGTTCCGGAGCTGGTAGGGCCGCACGTCGAGGCGCAGCGTGTACAGAAGGGCCGACGCCTGCTCCGCGTCCATGCGCTCCAGGGCCGCGCCGGAGACGCCCGCGGCCTCGAGGCGCTGGGCGACGCCCGCGTAGTTGGCGCCGAGCTCGCGGATGCGCGCGGCGACGTCGGCGGGGCTCAGGCCGCCCAGGGGGCCCGCGGTCGTCGAGGCCGCCGAGCCCATGGGAGCGGTCGAGCGGTCCTAGGGCTGCCCAAAGCCGCCGCCCATAAGAACCCGTCAACCGTGGGGAGCAAGGTGCAGTGACTTGCAGTGCAACGCTTGTGCAACACGCCGCGACGATGTAACGATGGGTCGGTGCCTCGACACTGCAGCGCTTCGCCAGCGCCAGCGACCTCGCACGATGGCTCTCGTCGCAGCGATGCTCTGCGCGACGCTCGCATCGGGCTTCGAGCCGCAGCGCTGCGCGCGTCGCGCCGCGACGACGCGCCGCGCCGCGACGTCCGACGCGCAGCTCCTCGACGCGGCCTGCGAGGCGGCGCGCGCCGCCGGCGCGCTCATCCGCGGCGCGTCGTCCGCCGGCCGCGCCGTCGCGCAGAGCAAGGCCAACGCCAAGGACCTGCTCACGACGACGGACGTCGCGTGCCAGGCCGCCGCCGCCGCGGTGCTCGCGGCGCGCGTCCCCGAGAGCCGGCTCCTCGGCGAGGAGGACGTCGCGCCCGGCGGCGACGCCGCGAGGCGCGCGGCGGAGGCGGCCTTCGCGGGCGACGGCGTCGTCTGGGCGCTGGACCCCATCGACGGCACCGCGAACTTCGTCGACGCGATTCCGCTGTCCGCCGTCTCCGTCGCGGCCGTAAAATGCCGGTCCGGCGCGGCGCCCGAGGTCGTCGCGGGCGCCGTCTACGACCCGTCGCGCGACGAGCTCTTCGGCGCCCTGCGCGGCGCCGGCGCCTGGTGCCAGCGCGGCGACGGCGCGCGCGCGCCGCTGGCCGCGTCGCCGAACGCGCTCCGCGACGCCGTCGTCTACGCGGGCGCGCCGCCGACGGCGCGCGCGCTGGACCCGTCGCTCCGCGGCATCGCCGCCGTGGCGCCCAAGGCGCGGACCATGCGCCTCCTCGGCTCCGCGGCGATCATGCTCGCCTACACGGCGGCGGGGCGCGGCGCCGCGTACTTCGAGTGCGACCTGGCCGCGTGGGACACCGCGGCCGGCGCGCTGCTCGTCGCCGAGGCCGGGGGGCTCGTCACGGACGCGGCCGGCGCGCCCTACGGCCCGCTGACGCGCCAGATCGTCGCCGCGGGGCCGGGCTGCCACGCGGAGCTCCTGGCGACGCTCGACGCCGTCGGCGGCGCGCGGCTCGACGACTAAGGGCCGGCGCGGTTGAGGTATACCATCGCTCGTCGTGGCGCCTCCCCGGGCTAGGCGCAGTTAAAGGCGCAGCGGGACGAACCACAACGTCGGCCCAGATCTTCAAGCGGCGCGGTCCTAAAAAAGCGCGCTTTTAAAGCCCCGCGGATCGCAGGCGCGTCGTCCGCCGCGCGCGCCGCCGCCGCCCATGGCCGCCGACGCGGCGTCGCGGAAGAAGTCCATCGAGGAGCTGCTCTTCAACGGCGGGAGAAACGACGACGACGAGACGTCGGGCGTCGACAGCACGCCCAACGTCAGCGACTCCGACCTCCGAAACCTGTCGGCCAAGAAGTCGCCGC